AGTTATTTTCAGTGTCTATATAGGTAAAGAGCCTTAGTTAGAATTTTATTTAACAATATAACTTTACAACAAATCCTTGGGCTTAAATTTACTCTGTAAAATAGTAATGTTGGTGGAAGAAGACAACACTGTTGATTCCCTCAAGCCAAACACCTCCAGAAACAAACCTATTGTTGAATAAGTTGGGTTTAATGCCCAATGCAACATGGTAGGCAGCACACCAGGAATATGACTTAGGGAACTGGTGGGGTAGTGTCTCAGTAACAGGGTGTTAGGATTTGACCTTTAGCTAGTGATTTGAGGAGGGTCCAAAGAAGCAGTTCTCTCTAGATTGGGTGCTGTCAAGAAGTAGGGGGCATCTTGACATACAGTCATGCTTCACTTATTAATGGGGACATGGCCTGAATCTTCATTATTGTGTGAACAATACAGTGTATTTACACAAACTAAGATGGCCATGACTGGGTGATATAATCTTGTGGGACCACTATTGTACATGCAGTCTATCTGTTGAGAGAAATATTCTTATGTGACTATAACCTTATTTAGAAATAAGATCCCCCCTACTACAAAATCAACCAGAAAAGAGATTTTTGGATGTCTTTGTGGTTGGGACCTCTATCCTATTACACTGGCCAATTTTTCTACCTCTGTTCAGTGTCCTGGATTTGATCTCTAGCACTAGGGTGGAGGGGAGATTAGAGTTAGGCTAAAGCCACACCCGGTGAAGTTGCAGTTCCTCAGAGTAGCTGATGAGGGGATATTTGGTATCTTGGTGTTGCATGGTTTACATACAGCAATCTTGTTTTTGTACTTACACAAAAATTCTGGTTTTGTCTCACCTGATCAGAATCAAAAACATCTGATATTGGTACTTTGTAAAATTGTTCATGTGCAAAAGAACAACATGGCCTAATTCCAGTATCAGACCAGTTCCTGGATGTGAAATTTCTCTCTTCATAGCTTTCCTGATGAGGTGTTAAAGACAGGCCTAGACAAGTCTGAGGTGAAGTCTTTCCTGAAGTGCAACTATCTGGTCAGACACCAGAAAGGAAGGGGAATCCATCCTTAAATTGGAAGTTGGGTTCAGAGGCAACTTTTCAGTAAACAGTACATTGTGGATATTACCACCCCATCCCCATGATAAAACCCAGGGTCTTGTGGTGCTGAGCACACAACCACTGAGCTAGACACTGAGATTCAGGGGACAATTGGTAACATGTTGGTGGTATGGAGTCTTTACCCATCCAGATGATTTCCCCCATTTTGTTAATTTTTCACTTACAAATTCTTCAATATTTTGTAAACATTTTCTCATTTTTAATCTCTACCACATGCTGTGTTACACATGTAATCAGTTCCATCTCCAGGCTCTTTATTCTGTTTCATTGATCTGCTAAGTCTTCCCACTCCCAACGTGCCTTGAATTTTATAGCTTTAAAGTAGCTTCTCAGTAAGCCCTGTTATGTTAGAGGGAAAATTCTCCAACACCCCCGACTTTTGGACCACTGTGTGCTAACCCCTGGTTTAAATGATACTGATACATGTTTGTGTATAGGCCCCAGAATGAAGTTTAACATTAAACACTTTTTAGCCAATGTGTAGCTGTTTTAAATTTTGTTTAGATTGGCACACCACTTTTATTCAAAAGTATTTATTTCCACAAATTTTATCCACACCTGAATATTAACAGTGACTATTACAAGCATTTTTTTCTATAAACAAAGGTGTAATTTACATATTTGTCCAAAATGGAAAAATACTTTTATCAGTAGCATTTCTTCTGTAATGATATATTTACCCCTGAATATGGTGTGGACTCCTTCAGAGAGGAAGTCCTTCATCTAAACATCAGTTGATGGCAAAATGTTAGATCCAAATCTGGATTATATTGTGTCATTTTAGAAAGTAGCTTAATTTCATCTGATTCCCTTTAATTAGAATTTTTTTTAAGGAAAAACAATTAGTATCTAATGACCTTTATGAGAAAAATCCAGTCCCGTATTAGTCATTGGCATTCACTTCTAATTTTCTATATTCCCTAATGTTCTAATTATGGCACCAATGTATACAAAAAGTAAATTCTGGTTATTTGGCTCATGCAAATTAATTTTAGAGACTGACTGCAAATATTCTGTGAGAAAAATGGAAGGGTCCTGCCCCATGTGGTCACATTTCAGTAACCATGTAGTCACGTAGGCATTGTACAAATGCTTCAATTTAGGACACTCTCTCACTGCCTTAGGATTAGGGCAACAGTCTGAAGACAATGCAAAGTAAATGGGTTCTAACTTGTTACTACAATCTTAGTGCCTTCATTAAGGCTAATATTTTTAAAATTTTTTAGTTGTAGGTGGACACACTATCTTTATTTAATATGGTGCTGAGGTGTGAACCCAGTGCCTCATGTGTGCTAGGGGAGAACTCTACCACTGAGCCACAACCCCAGCCCTGATGGTAGAATTTCGTTCTAAATTTTCCAAGCTCATGGCTTTTTAAAAAAAAAAAAAAAAAAAAAAGCCTTAAAATTTATTACTAGGAAGAATCAAGGGAAATAACCCCTAACAGCATGCTCCATGAAAAGTGGGGGAAAGTCTACCTTTGGGTCTAATGTGCTTCCCAGGTGAGCCTATAGGTACCATGACTCTGATAGCACAAGGAGAATGCATGGAGAACTGTGCTTGTCAGCATCAGCAACGATTAATTCATGGGTAAATACACCCGTTATTATAGGTAAATAGGTCCCATGTAATACTTACAACACAAGTTGTTTGCTATAAATATTTGATTCTTCAGTAACCTTTAAAATGCTTCTGTTTCAAAAGAGAAAAGTCCACTTTGTTGTTACACTGAACTTTGAAATTCTTTCCACAGCAACACTTATCTCAGAGAAACAATTGATAAATCAGTTATCTCAGTAACTGTTAAAGGCACGGAGAAAAGTTGTCAAATTTTAAACAATGGAAAGCAGAGATATTTGGTGAATTTAAACCTTCAAGTTGAATTATTTAAATTAAGTCATCCAATTTCATGAAGTTGGGAAGTGTTTGAGGTGTATTGACTTTATACTTGGGGATAAAAAGCCAACAAAAGGTTCAAGTTCACCTAAAGATGCTTCTTTCAGCCTCCAAATATGATGTTAAATTGGGCAGATCTAAACATTATGCAATCAATACTGTATTTGTCAGTCATCTGTAAATTAGAATTCCAACCCAATGCCCTTGTCTTTTGGAAGAGGCCAAGAGGACAATTCATAAACTTCCCTCTACCCCATGTATTCTAACCGCCACACTTTTATTCAGTGAGCCCTTGGCCTCTAGTGATGAACCAGTGACAGCAGAGTAGCAACCCAGAGAGTGGAGGGATAATGGTGTAAGGACAGTAAGCCTTTGTGTTTGTGAAATCACTGCTTGTTAAAATTGTGTATTGCTAATATCAAGGCATTTTTGGTTATCTTGAAGGTCAGGGACAGTCTTTACATGAGACTTAATTTCAAACTAAAGTGCATTAGAAAGCATATCATATTTCACAAAAGACTTTAAAGCAGAGGTAGCCACAATCCCAGTTGCTTTATATTGGTTTTCCAAAGTCAGCCTGTAGGTTGAAAGGTCTGTCACAGGGATGTCAGTGACTATGAAACTCAAACTAAGGAGGGAAGGCACCACTCTGCAGATATCTAAGGGGCCCCAGGATGTTTAATGTGGACAGAGGCGAAGATGCTGACTGATGACAGTGCCTTTGAACACAACTGTTAGCAGCTTTCACCAGGCCCTGTGCCTTGTTCTTGCCCCAGATGAGGAGGAAGACAGGACACCGAGTTCCACCAGCACAGGACAGAGGACCGTTTTGTGCTGAGGGTGTGCTGTGCTCCCAAGAGCCTTCTAAGTTGGGTGGCTGAGTACAAGATGGGGTGGAGGGTGTTCTACTTCCAACATGTAGAGAAATCTTTTGGAGAGTCCCAAAGAACCCCAAACCCTCAAAAACAAAACAAAAAATCCTAACAGCGGACTTTAAATCTATTATGTGATACTAGTGAATACTCTTGCTAAATCTTTATTTCACAGCAGAGATATTTACAATGATTTTTGTGTGGTAAATATGAAAAATGTTGAAAATAGGCTTAAGAAGTTGGCTTAAGCCATGTTATTCTTTCAAAAAAGAAAACCAAGGCAACCCCAAATCCCAACAAAACAAAAACCACAAGTCTTTGGAAAATAACTTAATGATCGTGTATTATTTCTTAAAGTTCTCAGAGTTCTCAAACTGCAGTCTATTTTCCTTCCTTTCTTGGGTGTCTGGGATTAGTAGCAAATTATATGATGTTCTTATTGGAGGTTTATGGCATTATGAGATTAAGTTTTCACACTGACTTTTTACATCTGTTAATAAAGCAAGAATTGTTATTCTCTAATAGTTAGCTTATATACATTTTTTTTTGTGGTGGAAGTTTTGTTGGTGAGTGCAGACTAGCATCTTAATATTTTTCCATCTTTCTCACATTTGATACCTGGGACAGTAGCATTTTCAGCCTAACTCTTTAAAAACCCAGGACTACCCAAAGGCCCTGAGCATATTAGAGACTGGGTCTATTAATTTTGCTTCAGAAACTAATATGCAAAATACTTTATCTGGAGGTCACTTGTACCACTGTCTGATTCACAGCTTCTCAGAGGCCCAGGCCCATTATTTTTGTTTTCAAAACATCTCACCACAAGCTCACCCACTCCTGTGGTTTGTCAACCTCAGGATGTCAGTAGATGCCATTTTCAGGGTTACAAATAAGGGTAAGTCCTCTGCAGGAAATTTGTTATATATTTTTAATATCTTAATTTAGACATTCTTCAGTTAACAAAGATCAGAGCTGGGCCACTTCCACTGTATAGAACAGGTACCTTTTAGATGGCCGCAGGGACTGCTTGGTGGTTGTAGAGTATTGTGTGTGTGTTTGTGTTTTTTTTTTTTTTTTTTTAAGACTGAAATCAAACCTTTAAAAAAAAAACTTTCTTATTTCAGGTGTTTTTATTCTGAGCAGTATGTACCCAAAATAATGAGAGAGATGTGTCTTAGTTCGCACTTTCCACAGGCTCTCCATCTCTGATTTGATCCATTTTTACCAGATTCCACAGATGCGCAGGGTCACTTCACTGCACATGTTTCCTTCTTGCTCACACTGGGAAGCAAGCTGATGTGGGAAACGCACATCTTCAGACTTCATTGAGGAACTCCAGGCTGAGACACGCGGGGATGTGGATTGAGTCCATCGTCAGGGAAGATGGATTAAATGGAAACAAAACAGGAAACATGTGTTTGGAGTCTAACAACAGTTGCTGAGGGTCATTCCGCTCTTGTAGTTGTGCCTACGGGGAAGAACAAGGCCACATAAAAACTTACTACATTTGAAATAGCCAATTTAAGTGGATTCACAAAAGCGAGCTGGTATATAGCATGGGAATATTTCTGCGCTTATTAATAAAGCTGTCAGGACCAGGAGAATGCGGTCTCCCTGTACCCAAGATATTGAGTGGTGCAGGGAGAAGCTCTGGTTTAAGCCTGTCAATCAGATAATTCTCTAGAAGGGAGAAAGCTTAATTAAAAGAAAAAAGGAGGAGCAGGTAAAGATAGATCTCAGGTACAAATCATGTACAGAGGCACTGGAGTAAAGTGGTTGCAGGCATAGATTCTAGAAGCAGACATCTTGAGCACTTGTACCACCCTGGGCAAATTTATGAACCTTTCTCTTCCAGTTTCCTGGAACAGGGAAGAACAACAGGACATAAACTGGCAGAAGAGGAAGTCTAGGGTTTGGTCCCTCCACTAGGGCAACTATGCAGTTGGAAGGAGTGGTTGTTATTAGCTATTTCACAACTCTGGAACCTGCCTGGACACTTATTTTAACTGGGAGAGGGTCTGACTGAAGGAGAGGCTGATCTTTGCTGTGAGCATCGTGTGGAACTGGCTACCATGCCCCATTCCTCAGCCCCAGGGCAGCTGTGGGGACAGACAACTGCATTTCTAGAGCTGCTTGGTTCCAGGAAAAGCAATGGGACCTGGTCCTCCCAAAATTTGAGATTCTGTGCACTTTGGTTGGTCTGGGGGCATCCCAGACAGAAGCCTGCCTTGGTTTAAGGCCTTCCCCCCATCCCCCACTTCTTTTGGTACTTGGGATTGAAACCAGGGGTGCTTAACCACCGAGCCACATTGCCAGCCCTTGTAAAAATTTGAGACAGAGTCTCACAGTTGCATAGGGCCTTGCTAAGTTGCTGAGTCTGGCTTTGAACTAGCAATCCTCCTGCCTCAGCCTCCTGAGCTGCTGGGATTACAGGTGTGCGCCACCACACCTGGCCCAGTTCAGGCATCTCTTGGGATGCAGTGGCTAAAATCACTATCATTTTTGCTATCAATGACCTGGCAGTATCAAATGGAGTATTTAAAAGGTCAGATCCTCTTCGCTTTTCCTCCTATTTGAAGCCAGACATTTTAAGAAAAGTATAATTGAAATGAAAAATTCACAGAGGCTTTCAACAGTGGACTTAAGTAGGCTGAAGAAAGGGTCAATAAACTTGAAGATAGACACCTGAAACAATCCAGTCTAAGAGGAAGAAAAAACAATGAGTTAAAATGAATAGAACCTGAGCAACCAGGTACCAATATACCAGCATACATATTTTAGAAGTCCCAGGAAAGAGAGAAAAGAGGGCAGAAAAATATTTGAATAATGCCCCAAAACATCCTGAATCTGATGAAAGACATATTTATGCCACAATCAAGAAACTTGAATCCCACTTGAATAAACTCAAAAGAGATATATAGTGAGAAATATTACAAATTGTCAAAACCCAAAGACAAGGAATCTTGACAGCAAGGGAAATAACTTGTCAGAAGGTATCCTCAAAATAAGATCAGAAGCCATGGAGGTTAGGAGACAGTGGGGTGAAAATGTCTGAAGGAAAAACACGTCAGCTGAGAATTTTATATCTGATACAAGTGTCCTTCAAGAATGAAGCAGACATTATTTTTTCTTTCCTTCCTTTCCCCTCTCTTGGAACTGGAGATTGAATCCAGGGATGCTCTAACTACTGAGCTACATTCCCAGCTATTTATTTATTTTTTTAGCTCTTTTATTTTTTGAGACAGGGTCTGGCCAAGTTGTCAAAGTTGGCCTCCCTTCAGCCTTCTGAGTTGCTGGGATTACAGGCTGTGCCACCACACCTGGAATTAAGTTGTTTCTAGAGACAAGGAAGGACATTATATATCAGAAAAAGGTTCAATCCATCAAGAACAATTACAAGCACATATATACCTAGCAACAAAGCCCTAAATTATATGAACCCAAAACTGACAGAACTGCAGGAAGAAATGGTTCTCCAATGCTTGCTGGACACTTCAACACCTCACTTTCAATAACAGATGGAATAAAACTGAAAATTGATAGAGGGCCATGAATGACATGACAAACCCTTCAGACCTAACACACATACAGAACACTCAAGAACAGAAACCTTTTTGGGGTAATATTTTTAGTTGTAGATGGACACAAGTGCTCTACCACTGAGCCACAACCCCAGCCCCAGCAACACATTCTTGATGTAGGTGGAACATTCTCCAGGACAGACCATAGATTATACAAAACAATCTTATTAAACTTCAGACTGAAGTCATATAACCATTTCTGGTTACAATGGAATAAGACTAGAAATAAAGGAAAACTGGAAAATCCACCAAGATGTTGAAATTAACAATCTCAAATAGCTCATGGGTCATGTAAATCATAACTGAAAAAGAAGAGCAAACTAAACTCAAGACAGGCAACACAAAGGAAATAAAAATTACAATGGAGATAAATGGAGAATAGAAGAATATAACAAAAAATTAAATAAAAGTTGGTTCAATAAAATTGATAAGTCTTCAGCTAAACTAAGAAAAAAAGAGTGAATTCAGAAATAACCAAAATCAGAAACAGATGTGAGGATGTTACTATCAAATTTACAGAAATAAAAAGGGTTAAGAGAATGCTAAAATCAGTTTTATACTAACAAATTGGATAATCTAGATGAAATGGATAAAATCCTGATAGCACAAACTATCAAAACTCACTCAAGGGCTGGACCTGTAGCTCAGTGGCAGAGCACTTGCCTATCACGTGTGAGGCACTGGGCTCGATTCTTAGCACCACATAAAATAAAATAAAGGCTTTCTATCCATATATAACTAAATTTTTTTAAAATTAAGAAATAGAAAATCTGAATATGTATAAAACAAGAAGATTGAATTAGTAATGAAATGCCTCTCAACAAGAAAAGGCCAGGCTCAGAGAGCTTCAATGGTTATTCTACCAAACATTTAAAGAATTAATGCTAATTCCTCTCAAATTTTTCCAAAAGAAAAATTGTTTTGGAAGACAAAAGCAGCACTTCCTAACTCATTTTATGAAGCCAGTAATGATCTGATACCAAAGTCAAAGACACTACAAGAAAACGTTATTAAAAAACCAGATACAAAAGGACAAATTACGTGTCTAGTTAATGAAACATCTAGACTAGACAAATTCAGAGAGAAGAGAGGTTCCCAGAGGCTGGGGGAAGGGAAATAGATGAATAGATGTCACTGCTCAAATGGGTATTCCTATTCAGGATGATGGACTGATTCTGCAAATAGCGTTGATGGTTCCCTAACATTGTCAATGTACTTACTGCCACCAAATTGTACATGTAGAAATGATTAAAATGGTACAACGTTGCCATAATTTGGATCTGGAATGTCATCCACAAGCACATGCATTAAAGGGCTGGCCCCCAGCCTTGGTACTGTTGAGGGTGGTGGCATCTCCAGGAGGCAGGGCCCATTGGGAGGAAGTCAGGTCTTCAGGGACATGTCTCGGAGGGGATATTTGGAACACTAGCCCCTTCCTGTGTCTTTTGCTTCCTGGCCTCCATGATGCAAATAGGCCTGTCACATGTTCCTGTTATGATGTACTATGGCCTAAAGAATAGGGCCAAGTGTCCAGGGGTGGAACCTCTGGACACTGAGTCAAAATAAATCTTTCCTCCTTCTAAGATAATTACTTCCAGCATTTTGTCACAGCGACACAAAGCTAAAACATAACAAAAAACAGAAACAAAAGGTGGAGGGATGGGGAGAACACCCTTCTCATAAGACTATGAAGATCAAGCATGAACGCATGTAAAATGCTGGGTGCAGCTGCTAGCTCGTGGTAAGTGCCGCTTGTTATTAACTGGACACACCTCCCTGTACTTGCCTGTGCATTCACAACCAACCTCAGAACCTCAGACTGCAGGGAGGAGCTAAGCTCTTGCAAAGGCCACTCAACTGTGGAAGTATTGCTAAGAGGAAAATCCATCATCTTGATTTTGTGAAAACACAGGTCATTCCACACTAGCTTGAGATATGAAGTGTTTTTTCCTCTTTGAGACAAGGCAACTTTATTGCTTCAAATAGTGACAACATTTTGATATGCTGTGACTTTCTGGAGATTTCATCATTTCTCAATTTTTAGCAGTGGGAAGACGATGAGCACTCATCTGCTCAACTCCTCCAGAAGTTGGGTGTTCCAGCTGGCCTCACTCTAACAGCACCTCTATTTTTCTTAAGCCTTGAAACAGGGGCCGGGGTCAGTAAATATGTGGGCACATTTGGAAGGTACTGGGAAACTGGCTTGCAGAAGAAAACCAGTTTGACATAGGATTGTGAGATGGCTAAACAGTGGCAGCAGCACCTCAATTGATTACATCATTTTCAGTTGCCTGGAGAGTGTGAATGGAAAGTGCTCCTGATGTCCCCAGGTCTCAATCACAACATACCAAGGCGTCTGGCATCTTAAAAAATGGGCTAAAATTTTAAGGCAATTTTAACAGTTTGAAAAAACAGTTGGAAATAAGAAGTTTAAGAGAGAAGGATATTCAGGGAGGAATGAGCTACAAGCCTGATTCAAGTTCATAAATGATAGCTCTGGTGGGGCCTGGCAGACTGATCTCTCCTGGGATCAGCAGTTTCTCACACTCAGCCCACTCTGAGCTCTGCTGCATCCATTATTACAAACCTATCACACAGCATGTGAAAATGTGGCAGGAAGCTTTGAAAAATAATAATTCTTACAGTCTTTATGCTCATCTTATTTCTCTATTAGAAATATATCAATAGTCTTTACTATTTAAAGGACTTGAAAAATTGTTAAGCATTTAGAGTATAAAATGAGACAAAAGTTAATTATTTCATATATTACAATTTAACTGCAAAGAGCATGTATACATTTAATTAATTAAAATTCTCTTGGGCTGGGGATGTGGCTCAAGTGGTAGTGTGCTTGCCTGGCATGCATGCGGCCCGGGTTCGATCCTCAGCACCACATACAAACAAAGATGTTGTGTCCACCGAAAACTAAAAAATAAATATTAAGATTCTCTCTCTTTAAAAAAAAATTCTCAAGGCAAATCTGCTCATGAAATCCTCTTGTAGATCCTTTGGTGAGTTTAACATCCCTCTCAAATTTAAATTAAAAATTTTTAAATTACTTTAACTGACATGTAAACGTTGTATGTGGTTGTGGGGTAGCACGTGATGTTTCAGTACATTTATACGTTCAAATTGTTTTTAAAGGTCAGTACATTCTGCATTTAGCACTCAACCAATAGCTTTCTTTAATAAAGAACTTGAACTTATGGTAAATAGTTCAAGTGTGGGACTGTTTCCTCTGAACACTTATAGGTAGAAGCAAAGCATAAAACTAGAGCTGGCAAAAAAAAATTTTTTTTGGATAAAAATCCTGAGTAAGATGCAGGATCTGCTGGTCAGTGTATTTAGTCATATTTACAGACACTTGACCTCCATGACATGTTTTCTATGTCCTTTATTCATTAAACCTGCAGTCTGACTTACCATATATTCTTTGACCTTTGGCCTGAATTCCCTTCTTGTAAACAGTGCTATTGCCAGTTTATAATCAGTTATAAACAGTTATACTTCTTCTGCTGGTCTGTGTATCTCAGATGTACAAGGGAGACTTTCTAAACTTGTACTTTTGCTTGAGTCATTTACCACCCCTCCATAAAAACCAGCAGTGAGGGCTGGGATCTCAGGCTTCCTTCTGTCATCGGACTCTGGCTCCCCTTTCTGCAGCTGGCTATGTGCTACCCTAACTGGATCCTTTCCATTGGCACCTCCCCTGCCCTGGCATGGCATGCGTTGTCACGAGGGCCTATTTTCCTCTGTAGGCTGTATCTTTAATAATCCTGTGATTTCTCCGTTGCCCGTAAGAAAACAGCCAACCTTCAGTCTGACTCGGCATCGCTTCCTTGACCTTTGGCCTCTATCCTCTACTTAGACACCCGGCTAAAGTTCATGTATTCTTTGCCACAAAACTTTTCAGACACAAGTTGATCTTTCTAAATCTCCGGATCTCTACAATGAAACATAGAATAGGCTCTGAATAAAATCCTGAGTGTTTCAGAGGAAAGCTTCTCCTACAAAAAGCCTATGCTTTCTCAAGATTCTTCAACTTCCTCCCCGATTCCTCCTCTGATCAATTTTCCTACTGCTGTTTTTTTTTTTTTTTTTTTTTAAATCCTTTTTTCATGTTGGCATCACTTTACTCGCTAAGGGGTCTCCAAGGTCTTCCCTATGTGCAATCATGGGAGAAACATGCCCTGTTGTTCTGAGTGATCCCTGTGCTGTCAGTCACCACCACACACACAGGCCAGGTGCTCAGTCAAGATTACCAGGGGCTTAACTCAAGGAAGCCAGGGCAGATTTCAAAAATCATTTGCCTAAAATATTTTTTTTCCAAGCAGATTCTTTAAGGGCAAATATGATGAGTCTTAGAGATAAAGATGCCATTTAAACTCTTAAGTCTTAAGAATGTTTCTTAGCTCCATTTGTGAGTAGAGTTGATATTTTGCTCTCTGAAAATTCCATTTGGTGCCTTAGTGATGTGTTACTGGGAAACAAAATACTTAGATTCAGTCTAAGATCTGAGTGGCAGAGACTAACAGTTCAGTCTTGTGTGTGTATAGTTAACAAGTTATTCACAGGTGTTAGGGTTCATGTTTATTTAAACAGAACGCCTAGGAATGGGAGGTCTTCTAGTAGTTTATTAATAAAGGTTAAAACCTAAAAGTTCAGGGCTGGGGTTGTAGCTCAATGATAGAGCCCTTACCTAGCACATGTGAGGCACTGAGTTCGATTCTCAGAACCACATAAAAATAAACAAAGGTGTGGTATTCATCTATAACTATTTTTTTTTAAAACCATAAAAGTTCACTTCTTTTTACAGTTTTAGATGAGAACTTTACAGAATTGATTAGTATTTTAAAACTTACTTGGATTGTTCGTATAAAGGACACTGTTACTCGCTCTTCAAATTCATTCAGGGGTGTATAAAGGTTTAAAATTTTGACGATCTGTTGGAATGAAAACAAAAGTTTATTAACACAGAGCTACATGAACAGAAGACAACCTTAAAGACCAGATGACACTGGTGTAAGATCACGATCTTTAGACAGGACTTATAACATGGAAGGAGCTGGACTGACATTTACAGTAGGAATCCACACTCAGGGCTCACTTGGGAGATCTGAGACTTTTCCCTCATCCACATTCCCCACATTCCCATCAACCCCGTCCCTGTGCTTGGTTGCTTATAGACAATGAGGAATTCGGAAATCTGTTGCCTGAAATCCTCAGCCTCTTATCTACCAGTAAGGACAAGATTTCTTCCAAAGAATAGTAGGAGTCTTACCTTAGATGCCTCGTTTAGGCACCCAAATCCCCTTCTACCTCCCTCCCCCATGAAAAATGAAATGCAAAAATTCATGTATAAAAGAGATTTTATGCTTATTTGAAAGAGAGATAATCTTTGGTTTGCTTACTGATTGGTGGAAGTAGCCCACCCAGCTGTAAAGCCAGCTGCAATCTAGAAGTTCTTGTGAAAGAAAAGTACAATTAAAAGAGGGCAACATTGGAAAACTTTTAGTACATTTGCAGAAGGAAACAATGTTCTTAAGAGTTCAATAATTCATTTATTAGTAGTTAGTGTAGGAGGTAAGGAGAGGTGTGTTTACTTTGTAACACAAAGTTTGGAGCTTGCTGTTTTAGATGTTGGTTGTGGGGAGGGGATGCACTTGATTTAGAAAGTCTAGTTTCTTTGTGCCAGTCTCTGTAGCCATTTCCAGTAGGCATACCCAGGACAGAGAGCAAGGTCTGGCTGTCTGTGGATCTATCTTTTTTAGACAGGTGGTATGTCTGCAACTAAGTTGCAATATAAATACAATTTTGGAAGGGGGGGGGGGAAAGGAAAGTGACATTTAAATACTTCTTGATTCTTAATGACTTTCATTTAAACCAATATAAATGGAGTCTTAAGGGAAAACATAATCATATTGAAATAATTGGAAAGAGTAGATTGATGCTGAAAAGTTCAGAAAAATTTAAAATTTCTACATAAGAAACAATTCAGAACTCATTATTTAAAACAAGTAGTGTCTAGGTGCAATGACACATATCTGTGATCCCAACTACTCCAGAGGATCAGGGAGGATTCCAAGTTCAAGTCCAACTGGGGAAACTTAGCCATACTCCTTCTCAAAATTAAAAAGTGTTGGGGCATAGCTCAGTGGCAGAGTGCTTATATAGCGTATGCAAGGCCAGTGGGTTCAATTCACAGTACAGAAGGGATTGCAGCAGGGAGAGACCTTGTTTTCTTCTTTTTTTTTTTTTTTTTGGACTGGGGATTGAACAGAGCCACTTTACCACTGAGTTTCATCACCAGTGCTTTTTAGTTTTTGAGATAGGGCCTTGCTAAATTGCTGCAGCTGTTCTCAGACTTGTGATCCTTCTGTGTCATCTTCCCAAACTGCTGTGATTACTGATGTGCACTATGTGCCTGGTTACTACTCATTTTCTAAGTGAGCAAGAAGAACCAGCTGCTGTTACAGGAAACAGCAGCTGTGGCATCTTGTTTCACAGACCAAAGTGGTGTCTGGCTACATAAAGGCAGGGGGTACACCACTAAACACACATACCCACCCCCACAGCGGCAAGAACAGATTGAGAAGCAGGACTTGCCCTAAGCACCGGGGTTGACAGAGGGCTAGAATAACCCTACCTGCTGGGTGCTGAGGGAGGTACACAGAGAACAGATGGCCTCCGCGTCCTCGTGGGTTTTCTTCTTTAACTGCAGGAGCTGGGCTGCTTGGATCAGAGGTTCCATGGTCTGAGCTGCTCCGCTCTGGTGAAGGTTCCTTCCCCGAAGCCACTCTTCAAGCTCACTTATATTATACCTTAGCCACAGGTAAAAAGTGAGTGGTTAAGCCCCAATTCATTGATTGAAGGCACCCCTGTGTTTTGAGGATAGCTGCCACCAGTGTCATCGTCCTCACCTCAACTACCTCACAGGTTACAAGCTGGAAAGGTAGCTGTTTGTTTAATGAAGAACAAACGAATCAAAGAATGAAGGGGACTAAGAAGCCACCAAAGAAGAAATACTGAAATAAATTTTTATAAAGCAATGGAGGAGAAGGCATTAGATATACTGAATTGAAACAATGTATATTTAACATTCACAAGCATATTTGTAGTCTTTGTAAGCCTTCATGCCTCCTAACTCACTGATTTCTCTTACCTGGCCACATTGTATCTAGTCTTCAACTATATAAAAGTCCTTAAGCTTTAATGTTTACCACCTTGGTGGTAATGAATTTCCTCAACCAATAAAAAGAACCTGAGTTTGAATCATATGCTGTGACAAGCACTATTAGATCAGGACTTCATTTTTAGAGGCAAGCACATTATGCTCTGCTTCCAGCTAGTGTCGGGAGTCCATTCTCTCCCTTTGTTGGACGAGAGCCTCTCTCACCTGAGTTGCATGCCTGTGCTCCACGAGCAGACGTCCTTCCGTAGGAGCAGGTTGTTAAGAGTCACTGCGGTGATCATGTAGAAGAGCTGTTTGAACACCTGCAGGATGATCTCAGGGTCCAGGCCCTGGTCACACATGACTGTGTGAAAGCAATTCATCTGGCGGATGATGGCTTCCAGGCAGTATGAGTTATCCCCGTCTGCCATGCTGGAGGAGCGCTTCCGGTAGCCCATTGGCTTCACACCAGATAGACCCTGAATGCTCTCATTTTCTAACATGGCAGAAACTGAAAGAAAAACATGGTTAGAGAAGCTTGCAGATCCTCACAAACAAGCTCTGATGCTGGACTGCTCAACAGCACTCACTGTTTTCGCAGTGATCCCATCCAGAAGTGCACAACGTTGACATGCTCAGGAACTTACAACTTTTGGCAAGGCATTTCTAATGTGTTGATCTCTGTGTGGAATAAAATATCTAAGGACCAAATTTTTGCTTAAATTTATTGATGGAATAAAGATGATACACATGCACTAGCTTGATTCTCTACTGCCTGTGCCAAGTCCAAGATGAGAACTGAACAATCTGAGTGTAGTCCTGGCCTAGCCACTACATCAACATTAGGTTAGTTACTGAGACACTCTTAACCATGGTGCTTTATGACCAGTACCCTCTTTTAATCACCCAACAACCTATGAGGTACCCATTTCACTGATAGGAAACAGGCATAAAGAGTTTAAATAACTTGCTTATAGTCATGTGGCTAGGAACTCAGGGCCAGGATTTGAACCCAAACTGACTTCAAAAGCAGTGCTACCAACCCTCCCATCATTCCACATGCTGTAGTATCTCCAGTTTCTCTGTGCCTTAGAAGATGACAAGAAGAAAGATTTGGAATAAATCTTATCCCAAGGGACATACTTATAGATTGCTCCTACTTGGAATTCACCCCAAACCTACTAGTGTTATAAGAACCCGGAGAAAGTATTACACACCTCCCCAGGTTCATGTTCCTCCCCAGCCTTCATGCAGCAGTGAGTGCTGTACATGGGCTTCCTTTCTTTTAACCTAAAACATAGCTGCTCTTATTTTTCCAATTCTGATTTCATGTTCAGTGCCAAGTACACTCACTGCTTTGAACAAAGTGAGTGTTCAGCAAATATTATTGCCCGAGATTTTACTGCTGTGTTCTTGCCTGTGAACACATACAAGGCTTTCCTTTTTTTCATGAAAAATACAAAATGGACAAGAGGATACTATTTTACTGTATGTGCATTTATGCTTTTGAGTTCATATTTATTACCTATTGAAATTTCTTGAGGAAAAATAATACAACATACTACAGGAGAGGAAAAAATCATTCCATTATGCTAGCATATTTGGATGAGACGGCATTGAAAATTTCACAGGTCTCAGGCACAATGTGCACAGCTCCGTAGGCCTTCTCTGGGAAGGCCCTGGCTAATACATTGGGCTCCCTGAAGATGGGAGACTTCCAGAGCCCGGAATGAGGGCTAGAACCCTCCTGTGCCAACTTACCTATCATTGGCTGCAACAAGCCCTCAGCGATTTTAATGAGCTGCTGGTAGATCTGAATGGAAAGGTCGCTCAGCACCTGACGGTATTCAGTGAGGTCAAAGTTCTTAAGACAATGTTCATTCTGCTTCGCGGTATTCTGAGTCATGAAGCCCTGAAGATGAGAGGTCGGTATTACTGAGATTCTGCAGTCTCTTGGCCTCAGTACAACTTCTGAGCCTCTGGTTTCTTTAGCAATGTATTTGTGGGGACCCTACCCACCCAGGACCTCCCCATCAGGCTTCAATGGTGGCCCTTGAACTAAAAGGTAGGGAAAATACTCAAAATGACAGAGAAGCCACACTGTAATTAAAAAGGCTTAAGTAATTTAGTCTAAATCCCTAAAGTGCCCCAAGGCATCAAAGCCTGATTGGCACCAGCTCAAGCAAAGAGGGACCCATGATTTCTTACTTTGTCTAGCGCTATCCCCATCCAGGTTAGCCTAAAACAGAGTAGATTGTGTGTCTGTATAAAGAGACATTTTATATGGACTCTATCACTGGGCATCAGAATTAACAGATGCACTGAAATGATTCTACCACAACATCACTGTGTCCCCTTAGCTTTCTGTATTAACAGGAAAAAATAACATGGAAGCTCAAAGAATTGCTTATATAAAAGGCACTCCTGTGACCAATATTCTTTTTTATTCAGGTCAAGGGAAACCAATAGCAGGTAAAAAGATGTATGCTTTCAAAAGGGTGACAATCCCCAGTGAAGCTTCTTGTGCTGTGCCAAGTTACACAGCAGTTTTTTTTTTATATATAGGAAAAAAAAGCAGGTAGGAGAGAGACTGATGCGATGACTTAGGCGGTCTTTCACTCCTTCTCATTACTTAGACCACAAAGACCTGGTTATTATGTGGTTCCAGTCTTGTCCCCGAGAACACAGAGCACATGAAACAGCCGCCATGACAGTCCCTGGCTTTACATAATGTTCCACTCAGAACACATGTAAGTTTGGGTGAAGTGATGATCCTTAATAAAATAATATTAAATGGCATCCCACGCTCACAGTAAGAGCTTGTGGATATCATGGTTACATAACAGAAGGCGTCTGTCTGAAATGAAGGCCGTTTCTCCCACCTTTAACTCACTCCCTTCCTAATAAAAGCAGGTGATCAAACTGAAGTTGTGATGCTTAGGAGGGGAGTACAGTCCAGCCACATTCCAAAGTCAAGACTGACTGCAATGGCACAGCTTTTATTTCCCCAGAGAGAGAAGCGTACCAAAATTTGATCTGTTACAAAAGATGGAACAAAGCTTTAAAGTGTCCTACTGGGCCTGGTGCCTATAATCCCAGTGACTAGGGAGGCCAAGGCAGAAGGATCAGCAACTAAGCAAGACATCATCTAAAAAAAAAAAGAATTGGGGACGTAGCTCATTGGACAAGTGCTACAGGGTTCAAAACTCAATTAAAGCACATGAAACAGCCGCCATAACAGTTGCATTGTTTTCATTAGGCTACATCTTGACCTTGGGACGGGCGCATGGTGAGATACGTGAAAGAAAGGGGAGAAAGAGAAAAGTGGGGCAGACCTGTGAGGATCTGAGAGCGGGCAGGGCTGGCACTGGAGAGACTGAGGAAAGTGTGCCTTATGTTAGAAGGGCTGACCGTGCAGCTTGAGAGAGATGCTCGAGTTGGGGATGGCAAGTTCTAGATAAAGCTGGGTCGCAGAGGTCCAGGGTGGAACATAAAATGATAGTGACAATTGGGCCTCTGGCCAAGGAATCCAACTGGGTTGGGAGCATGAAGCTGGGCCTCAAGGTCAGTTTGTATAAATGTAGTTCTGATGACTGGGTGCCGCATTTTTTAGGGACATCTTTATCCTAAAAATGGACGAACTTATCAGTCGACTTAGGAGACAGTCTGACACACTAGACAATTAAGCTTTCTTTCAGCTTTCACCGACAGGGGCTCTTCTAGGACGGCTTTGGAAATGACAGGCCACGAGGGGTTTCTTGGAGAATCCCAGGGGCTGACAATGGGTGGGTTAGCAAACTCATTTCCCTACCAATTCTACTCACTGGACAAAGGGGCCCTTGGACTCACTGAAGCCTCCTGGAGGCAGGTCTCCCGTGGCTTCCCCTGCTCCTGCTTTCAGTTATCAGGGATGGCAAGGCATACCTGCCATCAGAAGGTGTGCCAAAGACTGTATACCTGTCTTTTTAGGCGATCCAGAGCAACTCAGAACTCCAAGTGGACAAAGCAGGATACACCTTCTGGTACCACTCACCTCGTCCCCACTGTACTGCTTCAAACAATGAAGGAGGCGACAGGTGTTGGATAACCAGAATGACGTCATCTCAAAGTCATCATTGTGCTTCTGTGAAAAGGACATCCCCAGTATGAGTAAGTACTTCCCATTGGGTGAAATGCTCACTTTGGGCCTCTTCCCATGTTTCTCACTCTTGCCCAGCATTCCCCGGCAGCCCCGACACTGGACAGGGCACCTGCCAGTTACAGGAGAAGACCTGCTGAGAGACTGCCTTATTGCTTCTCCACTACCAGGGATGGCATTCCCAACCCCTTTCTGGCCCCCTGATCATGGTGCACATTCAGGAACCCATACAATAAACATGCTGCCATCTACAGCTGAAGGATGTGAAGCCAAGTGGCACAGATGAGGCCAGGCCCCAGCAGCCCCTGGCTGTTGTCTATCCACCCCACCTGGCGGGGGGTCAGACTGGCCCTAATTGTGAACTACCAGCTACTCAACACAAAGAATGCGAGGGAGCATGCTGGTGAAATGCTCTGGTGTCCCAGTTATTAACAGGTCGGATGTCTAATGGTTTCATCTCCAAAACAAAACAAAAAAAAGGCAATGAACTCATAACTACATGAACATCTACAGCCCAGTTCCTGCACAAAAGCCAGAGCCTTCATGAGCTCGCTCTGTGGTGTAAGCATTGCCATTATCTAAGTGCAGACAGAAGAGAGGTGTAAGCTATGACAATAAACAAAGGTTGAATGTAGTGACCATGGGGCTGGGGCAGGCTAATTTAGTTCTTGATTAGGAAAGGCTTTCCTAAGGGAGGGACATTTTCAGTCAGTCCTAGGTAGAACCAGACTGGCCTAAGACTCCAGCTGAAGCCTGTAAGAGGTCAAGGCCAGAGACAAATTTGAGCCTCATCAGCATGTGGATAGGACATGGTTAGAGCTGTGAGTGGCTAAAACTACGCACAGTGTGGAGCCTGGTAGGGAAGGCTTTGCAGCCATGGGTATGGAGCCAGAGCTAATGGGTGGCTGGTAATCTCAGAGCAGGGACCACAGGCTAAGTGAATCCAGAACTAGTAAGGCCTTAGTGCTCTTGATGTCGAGGAAAATGGAGGATAATCTCTAAGGGCAGCAATACCTGGGGCTCACTCAGGCCTTCTTGAGGTAGAAATCTAAGGGCCTCAAAAGCCTCCCTTGCTACTGCCTAGGTTCACCTCCTTGCAGACTAGCGACACAGTGGCTACCAGTACACTTTTTTGAAGAACCTTGTATATTTAGGTGACATTCTTAAGTTGCTTCAACACATGGTAAGTAACCCCATCCTGACCCAGGCTGGGTCACCTTGCAAATTGACAAATGTCAGAAGCTTTGTCTGTTCCACTGCCCTGAGCAGCAAGCACCTGGCCCCTAGGGAAGGTGAAGGTGGCCTGGGCTCCAGATGTGCCTCTGAAGTCACTCTGGGGTAAGGCCGGCTTGTTCTTGGCTGCAGCAGCGAAGCCATCTGTAAGCACTGGGTGTCCCTGGAGGCTCTCACTGGAGTTCTGGGCTTCCTGCCATTCCTGAGCCTGAGCACCCTTCTCTGGGGAGTGCTGGGCATCCCAGTTACTACAGTTAGAAGCTTGGGAGAAAGCACTTCTCAGAACCCAGGCAGAGAAGCAATGGGGAGGCGCTGGTTTTGCTCATTTCACTGTGAACCACGACTTTCTGTTCAGGTCACATACCTTTAGGACTTTCTTAATGCCATTGATGGTGGAGGTGAGCAAGGAGTGCACCTTGAGGTCGTCATTGGTGTAGTCCGCATGTCTGATGCACATGTAGAGGATGTATGCGGGGAGGCAGGGCACTGTGCCCGACAGCATCTGGGGCTTCAGGTCTAACAGCAATGACAGCAAGAGTTAGATCTAAGTGGGACACTGGCAGTGAGAATCCTGGCCTCAAACAGAAAAGTTTGCAATATTTCCTTGTAGCTTAGCTAGGAAGGCCTCTCATGGGAGGGAGGTTGGGAGAGGGGCAGGAGAGAAAGTGTCCAAGGTTATGCAAATTCCTTTCAACCCTGATAGACCAGATTTTCAATACTATTTTAAAAAATAAAGACCATATTCCTCCTTGTTTGCATTATAACAAAACAGGCTCCTAATTCCCCACTCTTACAACATGAAGGAAAACAGCCCGGGAGTTACACAGAGGCTACGGACTTCAGTTAAGAAGGGGCCTGTGGCCAGGTGCAGGCTGCAGACAGGACCTGGTTCCCTTACTAGGTGAGAATGCCAACTCCTCTGCATCCCCACTTGTTACTACAGGTACACTGGGTTCTCTGACAGTCTGAATATAAAGGCTGGCCCTGGGAGAATTTGGCAAATTGTATGTGCCCAAAGACACAGCCAATCTGCCAAGGACTGGGAAGGCTGGAGCAACCTCTGACCCATGGGACCATCCGTTTGGGAAATAAATTACCTGGCAACTCTTGCCCTGCTACCTCCTAGCCAATAACCCAGCAGGCCACTGCCACTCTGCCCACTCCCAGCCTTTTCCCCCGCCAGCAGCTCTATTCTACATTCCCTGCCCATCTCCACCCCCAATGCAGGTCTGCTGTGGCAGGACTGCTCCAGCCTCGGGCCTCATGTCTCTCCGCACCTACCCAGATACTCTCCCTCAGCCCTTGGCCCACTTCCTGCTAACACCCCCTGGCTAGATCCAGGGGAAAGCTGTCAGAGTGCTTTTTGTTCCCGAGCATGCAAGCAGAATAAAAACCAAAGCTTAAAACAGTGACTGATAAAGAATCTAAAGAAGTTAGAAGAAAGATCTGGTGATAACATGCGAGTCTGAGGCCCCGAGAGTGTCCCTGCAGCCTCTTACTGTACCCTGGCTTTCACTCTTACCCCATCCAAGCCAAGCCCACCAACCCCTCGACATGCAGGGAGGCAATGTGCTCAAGTTTTCCACCAGAGCTGGCCTGGGGTGGGGCTGTGCTGCTAGCATCTCTAGCTGCTTCCTGAGTTTCATCAAATCCATCTTTCTAGTTAATTCTAACTACAGGGCATAATACTCTGGATACATGGTTAACATGCATTTTGTAAGTTTGGCAGATGGCTGTGGACTGGCCCTTGGCTCTGATTTGAAAGCAAGTAACAGCAGAAAAAAATATCTTATAGGCCCAGACTTTCAACCCACAGCTTTTTTCAAGCCTGACTCATGTGCAGACTACAAGCCTTGGCATGTTCTGTTGTGATGACGCAGTTTACTTGGGCCTCCCAACTGGATGGGAGCATCCTGAGTGGGTGGGGACCTTGACTCTTTCTTTTCTCCTCAGAGAAACAAGCTAGTGCCTTCCTGAGGCATCCATTCATTTAGATGGGGTCTTGTGGAAGGCTGATGATTGGGTACTTTTCCTAAGCAGCTCAGCAGGAAGTGACCTTGCCTAGAGCCATCTGAGCAATGACAGCAGGAACAAGCCACCTGTCTGGCACTGTTTTAAACAGAAGTCTTATTTACTTAGTAAACTCAAAACTATACAGTGTCAGAGTTAATTTATGGAAGAGTAAAGGTTCATTCCTAATAGAAGCAGTCTGCTTAAGGATGTTTAACAAGAATGTGTGTCACCTTTGTCACATCTGTCACAATTATAGGGCAAACTAACCTCCATTACAGAACAAAATGTCCAGGCATAAGCAGGTTACTAAAAACAAAAACCACGAAAGGAAAGTCTGTGCTAGGCACAAGTCTCACTCCCTTCTCCCAGTAGCCTCAGCCCCAGGCACGGTGGCTCAATGAATTCCTGAAGAATAATGGTTTCCTCTTTCTTGAACTGAACTACCTCGCTAAAGCTGCCATCTGACTCCTGAGAAGGCTTTGCAATTGCACCGTCACATTTAGCCTTGCTATACTTCATATGAGGGGATGAGAAGATGGGGGCCCCCCATCTCCATTTTACAGATGGGGACACCAAGGTACCACAAAGAAGAGAGCTCATAGCTAATGACTATGAGCTGGGCAGGCTTGGCAGGTGAGGAGAGCAGCTTTCAAGAGCCTGGTGTTTCAGTCCAGAAGGCAGCTCCCCCACCAAGCCACCTGGAGTTATTCAGGCACAAACCTGTGCAACCTGCAAACAGGACACAGACCTCCCCCTCCCTAAGCAGCCAAGAAGAGAGACCCTGAGAGGAAGAAGCTCCCTTTCTGACTTAACGGGGAAAACTCTGCCCTCTTCGGTGGGGTGGCAGGTCTTTCAGTCCTGAGGACGAGGCAGGCCAGCCTTGACCTTGCCAGATTCCTGAAAGGAGGAATGCAGGGACAGTACAGACCAAGCCCAGGGAACCTTCACAAAGGACCAGAGTGATCCTAGGCCCTTTGCATGAACTCAGCGCTCTTCAGACTTCAGTGTGTATATGAACCACCTGGATTTTTTGCTATGTGCATTCTAATTTGGGAGGTCTGGAGTGGAGCCTGGGAGTCTGCACTTCAAGCACCTTTTCAGGGAATGTTGCTGGTTCAGGGACCATCCTGTGAGCAACAAATCGTTACCATCGATTCTCCCAATTCTGTGCTATTGGTGCAATCCTCTCCCCCATGTGACACCTGAGAACATGACCTCAGCCACGTGGCTAGGAAAGGCCCAGTTTGCATAAAGGCCATGTGGCTCCAAAGACTACATTCCTAAGTAAGCACAGCACTTACAAACCGCAAAGTTTTTCACAAACAACAGGAACTTAAACCTTTGATCTACTATTTACCCAGTGTATGACCTGGGCAAGTTACCAGAATGACCTAGGTTTCCTTCAGAGTTAAGTGAGAGCAGCAAAGTGCCGACTTAAACAGAAGCTGCGAGGAAGCTAATGTGCACTCGGGTAAGTGAGGTGGGCTGGCAGCTCCCCCATCTCTACCCACCACAGGCAGAATGGAGACCTCCGTTTCCCGAGAGTAGGCTGCAATTTACAGGGGTCAGATTTTAATTTGGAAAAGCAATGGGTTATGATTAGAAGCAGCTGGACTCAGAGGGTGAGGAGGAGGAGAGGGGCAGTGTTGTGTGGGGGACACAGGGATGGGGAGTTATGTTTGAAATGGGAGTTGGGGAGGAGGGCTGGCATGTGGGGTCTCATGGTGGAGTCCTGACCTGTCACCAGGTTCCGGATGAGGAGGGCCTCGTCTTCTTTGTGGTACTCCAGCATGCCCTGGAAGTCCTTCTCTTTCCTCTGGACTGTGACCTGCCTGGTGAGCTCATGGTGCCGTCTGTCACTCTGGGCCAATGCCTGGGCAGCTGAGTGGGAAAGAAACAACAGGAAGCATGAATGGGACCTGCAGCTGAAGGCCCGTAGTGAGCTGTGCCTGTGGACAGAAGCTTGGACCTGGGTCTGGAGAGGGGTGTTCAGGGTTCCCAAGCTCCCACATGGTACATGATCTGTTCCTGTGGCCTCTGCCAGTCTAGCGGCGGGACAAGGGAAAGGGAAACCCTTGAAAGGGTGCTGGGCAGGCTTTGGATCAGGGTAGTGGGCAGCAAGGTGTCCTACCCTCCAGCTGGCAGCTGCTTCTTCTCTGCAATCAAGTCATAAGGGGAAACCATCTTTCTGGGAAGATGTCATGACCCTGGCCAGGCCTGCTGGATTCCTTGTGTGCGACCACAAAATGGCCATCATGACACAGCCACAGTGCAACTACAAGTATCTGAGGACCCTGCAATGCCTTTGGCACAGACAGGGTAGCAGATGTGCCAGAGTACACAGAAAGACACTAATACCCCAATGCAGAGTCAAGCTCAGGAGCCTGTGACATGCAACTACATAAGTAATGCAACTACATAAGGAAATGATTCTGCAGGAATCCTGGTGGTGTGGTTGGGGGTACAAAGGGCTTTGACTCATTCATTGCTTCATTCAGGCCTTCCCTCATTTTGATTCCTTGGGAGAGCAGTGGGCACACAGATATACCCCCAAGCCCACAATGGACACCTACTGCATGCAGGACGTTGTTCTAAGTATAGGATTAGATATGATGGGTTCTCTAACCTTGTCCTTGGCCAGTCTAGCTAAAGAGATATATGTGTATGTTCACTCTAAAACAGACCCTCAACACAGCTTGCCAGGTGCCAGGCCAGAAGTGTGCTGATGGTGGCTCCAGCCGGTAAGACCTCACAAAGGAGTAGGGGAAGGGCTGGTCCATCGACCCACCAAACCCCACATCACACAAGTCCCTGGACAAATGGGAGAGAAGCAAAGGCCCACCCAGGGTGGGTGTTGCTCTCTGTGCTGCCATGGGGGTCTGGGTGTGTACAGAGCCAGGTGGAGAGGCACACTCGCCAAGAGCTGAAGTTTCCTCTGCAAGTCCTAGGGAAGGGACAGAGGACAGACAGCACCGTGAGCAGAAGCAGCAGGGCCTGGGAAGTCATCTGGGAGCAGGGGACAAGGATTGGTCATAGGGGAATGAGCAGGGCAGACACAGAGAAGCACTGAAGAGAGTGATAGGTCTTTACGATTGAGCAAAGGGAGAGGCTAGAAGCCAAGAAACTAGGAGAATGAGAACCTGAGGAACAGAAAATGAGAAATTCAAAGATGAAGGGGGTACGTTGGCAGGTGCAAGAGAGACCGCCAGCTAGCAAGAGATCGCTCCTGCCTGCATATGCCTGGTGTGGGCCCCAGATGTTTCTGCCTCCTGGAGCCCAGGAGTAGAGCAGCTGGTGAGTGTAAACAGGTGAATAAATGAACAAAACACCACTGGTGATTAGGGCTGTGTCAGGCCATCATATGGTGATGGGCTGGTGGCTCTTGAGCAGAGGGAGGAAGATTGCAGTGAGGTATGCAGGCAATGGGAAGCCATGGGGGTTCCAAGCAGGGTGCATGCTTAGATTTGCAGCAGGGTCAGAGAGAGGAGAGAACATTCCCAGTGCTTTGGGAACATGACTGAGATCTCTGCCTATCCTCTCTGGGCAGACTCCAGACTGGTAATTTGAACTTGACACTCCATGGCACAGAATGAGGCCCCCTGGGGCCGGGATTTTGTGTTATACAACATACTTTCACACCAGAATGTCTTGCCTCCAACTCTGAGCTCTCTGAAGGCGGGGACCACTAGGTCACCTTCTCAGCATCTCATTCCTCCAGTTCCACAGAGCCTTGTTCAGAGTGGGCACAAAAAGAAAGCCACCTGCTCAATTCATGTCTTTGGTCTGGACTCTGCTAACTGAGAATGTGTGAACCTATGGGTCCCCCCCTCCCCGCTGGTGGTACTGGGGACTGAACCTAGGGGTGCTCCACCACCAAGTTACATCCCCAACCTTGTTTATTTTTTGAGGCAGGCTGTTGCTAAGTTATCCAGTCCGGTTGCAAACTTGCAATCCTCCTGCTTCAAACTCCCAAGTCACTGGGATTATAGGCATGTGCCATCATGCCCAACCAGGGTCTGAATTCTTCCATGGCATGGCTGGCATGAGCACAGTCATTAGGAAACTGGTGACACACAGTGTGCCACAGGGCAGGCAGTCCATCCCTCGGCACTGCCAAGCATACCTCTGCTTCACCACTCGCGCCCACACACACACACACACACACACACACTCTACCTTCTAGGTCCTGGACTTTCTTCATGTAAATCTTCAGTTGCTTTTTGAGCTTCCTCTCATTCTTTTCCAGCTTTTCTACCAGTTCTTTAAGGTCCTGAGAGCAGAAGGAAGTAGGATGAGGAACGACTTGAGTCTGGCCCTGGATGAGAGGTTTATTCTTGCTGGAAGCAGAGTGGCCTAGGGATGGCTGTGGGTACTGTCTGAGGAGCCCTGGCTCAGTGCCCTGGCCAGAAAGGCTGTCCCATGCTGGCTACAGTTCCCTGCTCTGGAGCCCAGGAAGCGGGCCATGGGTCGGACTCCATTCTCAGCAACAACAGGGCAAATTCCTCCTGGTTCTGGCTCAAGGGTGCCTTGTGTAATCCCAGGGCTCCCCAGATCACGCCTGCTTAGGTTGCCGAGTCAGCAGCCTGGGCGTCCTGGGGATGGGTGGACGGTGTCCTGGGTAGGAATGGACAGGTAGAGGTCGAGGAATGGGGGTGCTGGGACACTTGGCTGGGAGGTCAGTGAGTTTACCTGGGCCCAGAAGCCAAACAAGGCAGCAGCTATAGGCCCAACCCCTAGTAACTGTTGCCACTGGAAGCAAGTCCCTCGGGGACCCAGAACAGCAAGCTGTTGTGGAAGGGTTGTGCTGCCACTAACCTCATCTGATTCGGCATGGAAGGCAGAAGGCCCTAGCTCTATCACCATTAGAGCCCAGTCTGGAAACGTTACTTCTATTGACCTATGACGCTCTCGCAGGACAGGGACTCTCTTCCACTTTCCTGGCATCTGCCAGGGCTCCTTCAGTGACTGCCCGCAAGGAGAGCCATCAACTCCCCCTCCTGTCAGGTGGCGAGGGCCATCCCTCACTATACCTGGCCTAGCCTCATCATTTGTCTTGATCCATAGCAGGTGACAGCGGTGATGCTCTGCTAGTTTTGGGACAAGGCCTCAAGAGGCCCCACAGATGCTGCTTGCATTCCCTGGGAAGCCAGTCGCCATGTAAAGCAGTACACGGAGAGGGAGAGACCACAAGGAGAACTGACGCCCCAGACATGGGAATGAAGCTGTCTTAGATCTTCCGGCTCCAGCTGACACCATGTGGAGCAGAGGCAAGCTGTCCCCAATGAGCTCTGCCAGAATTCCTGATTGACACAACAGTGGCTGCTATTTCTTGGTATTACATCCCCAACCAAGAAAAACAGTTATTTCATTTATCTACCATCAGCAAACTAGGGATTTCCAGAATCTGTTCCCACTACAGGGCTAAGGATGTGAACCTTGTCCATCTAGCCACCCCAATCCTTTTTTCTAGAACATGACTCCCAGAGCTATGATCCACGAGGCATGGCTACTCACCAGATTCTCGTTGGTCAACCGGGATATCTCCTGCTGGACGCCAAATTCCACCTGGGCCTCTGGGGATAGCAGCAGTGTCTGGCAGAAGGTCTGCTGCTGTTTGTCCATCTCCTCCTTCAGGGCCTCCACCTGGGCTTTGAGGTTCTCCACCTGTTCCTCATGCTCCAGGCTCTGGGCCTGCAGCTGTGCCTCCAGCAACCTGCACCAAGGAGAGAAGGACAGGTGACCATGTGGTTGGGGCAGCACCCCAAATGAGGGGCTACATACAAATACAACAAGAGAGCAGCCAAGCACACAGCAGCGGTTGCACATCCCCAACGGGATGTACACAGTGGGGAGACACACACCACGGAGGCCAGCAGGCAAACAGGCTGACCTGTCCTCTCCGATGACAGAAAACCAATGTCAAAAGCACCCTGGGCTTATTAGCCCTTTTCCCTGACCCTGTATTTCATTCTGTGAGTAGTTTGGGATGGAGACACTGCCGTATCTAAGTCAGCATCACAAATTTCTTATAGTAAATACAGCATCTATGTCTTCCCTGAAGTTCACAAGAATGCCCTTGTTAAGATAAAACTCTGATAAAGTAATTACATTATTTTCTCACTTTCCCTAGACTACCCACAAGTTTTAGAAAGGCAAGGGGCTAGTCTGGCCTATTCATCTTCACCATTACTATCTCCACTCTACCCCACGTGCACATTTCTATAACGATTTACCCTTCACCCCCAAAAAACAAAACTAAGACTATCTGCAAGTGTTCTGGGGGAAGTTAAAGATTAGCCAGTGTCTGACAAGCAGACACACCCAGAGATCTGGAGAGGGTTGGGGAAGGCTCGGAGGCCAAGTCTAAAAAGCTCAATCAGGGCCAGTTACCTGGCACTCCTTGGACAGTACCTGCTCCACCCTAACAGAAAGTGAGGGATTCTGGAGGCGCAGCAGCAGCCTTGTCCCCAGGAGCTGGGTGCCAACATGGTGAGGATGCACATCTTCTGGGGCTTCACTACCTGAACCAGCTTCCTGACTCAGTGCAGCTGATTTTGTGTGAAAGAAATGTAGAGGGTGCTGGATGAAAGGGGCTTTGGAAAGCTTCCTGACATGGCCTACACAGGGGAACACTCGCCCCAATCTTTGCCTGGAATGATCAGAGCTAGGCACCGATTCAGGAAGCAGGCTGCATGTTTTTGCAGTCCTGCTGGTCTGGGAGGCAGTAAATGCATAAGAGGGAGGGAAAGATCACACTGCTGACAGAGGTAGATGAGTCAGCTCTATAGCAGCACTGGGTAATATCACCTGGCTCCCAGTGGCTCCTCAATCAAGTAACACGAATGAGGAAATGATTGAGGAATGCACCACAGGCCTATTGCCAAAAGAAAACAGCAATGTGAGGATAGTGGAGGACAGCTTGGTAATAAAATCAACACCTTAGGTGACATGCAATACTTAGATAGCATCCAACATTGGCCAAAATACACTTAATCACTAATAGGTTGTAGATTTAACAAGAGAGTAGAAACACCTGGTTCTAGGATGCTGCCCAGGGATGTGCTTCCTTACCTGTGCTATGTGTCCACCATTCATGTCTGCCCTATGCTCCAAGTGGACTAGGGTGGACTCAGCCCAGAGTGTAGGGTACAGGATTCCTGCCCAAGCATCAAGCTAGCTTCCTAAGTGTGTGGAGAAGCCAAAGGCTGAGAGAGATTCAAGGTCACAGCCAGGGGCCGGGCTGGTTCTATGAGCCAGGACTCCTGACACACAGGCCTGTGGGCTACTTCAACACATTCATCTGCTTATCTGTCACACCACATTTGACCTGCCAACAGAGGCCCAAGGAATGACCAGCTTCACACATGGGTCTCTGTTCCAATACAACATGCTTCTGAGTGGAAGGAATCTGATCATATTGCATAATATAACCATCATAATAACAGAACTAGCAGCTGCTGTTCCTTCTGCTCCACACCAAGGACACACAAAGAGATCCACTTGCAGTCATTTTCCTTATGACCAAGTGTGGCAGGTCATGTTATGATCCACCTGTGAAGAACCTGTCACCAGGCTCACAGGTCATGCAGGGCCATGTTTGAACCCAGTGAAAGGCTGCAGAGTCAGGAGACTCGCTGCCGTGACAGAGCTCCACCACATTATCAGCGAAAGAAGGGAGAGGCCACGAGAGGCTAGCAGGAGCTGAGGGCTTGGGGCTCTTCCTCCAGTTCTGCCATCAGGCTGCTGAGGGACCCAGGAATGGCACTCACACCACCTTTGAGCATCCATTTTCTCTAATGGGAAATGAGTCTAATGACCCTTGCCCCATCTCTTGTTGGGAGGTGCAAATGAACAATGTGATGCCACACATCCCTAAAAGCCACACTGGCACGGAGCATGTGACAGACCACCCCATCACGTCATGCCCTTTCTCCAAGTGCTGAACCTTGCTGGCTAAACTCTTCATCCACTGCTGAAGGCTGATGAGTATCAGTTCATCCTGGAACTAACTGAATTTTCTGCAAAACCAGCAAATTTTCTACATAATCCTCCAAGCTTCAGTTTTGTTCCCCCACAAGGGCCAGGGAAGAGACCAACTCCCAAGGCACTTCATCAGCTCCAGGGAGGCCCCAACACCTGGAACAGCCACATGCTGACGGCAGGTCCTGAGGAGCCTTGTGTTAGAAGACCTGGCTCACAAGTCAGGCTGATGTTTTTGGCTGACACTGTAGTTAGGATGGTCAATAAGCAGTGTGGAAGAAGTGTGGGACTGGGAACCGTCCCCCCCAAAACTGGGGAGTGAACCCAGGACTTCACACATGCTAGGCAAACGCTCTACCAAAGAGCTATATACCAAGCCCTTCTTTTGCTGTTTGAGACATAGCAAAAGTTGCCCAGGCCATCTTTCAGCTTATGATCCTCCTGCTTCAGCCTCCTTAGTAGCTGGGGTTACAGGCCTGCACACCAGGCCCGGCTCTCTGCTTTGCTCTTAACAGCTGTCTGCCTGCTGCCACGTACGTACCTCCTAGGTCTCCACCTGTAGAATGTGGGGGTTGGGCTATGTGGTTCCTGAGGCTCAGATGGGCCACCCAGTGCTATCACAAGCAGCCTCCCCTGACCTCATCCATACAGCCTGGACATAAATGATAGGCAGGCAACCCCAGGGACTACTGGCCAGCAGCAACCCCCAACTGTGCCCCCAAGCCCTCGCACGCATTGGGCTGAAACACAAGGAGCAAAGACATGAGCAGGCGTACAAAGCAGACACAGGAAGACAGGAGCACATTTGACCTGGCAACTTGTTTTAAGCCTTGGTAGGCCAAGCCGAGTTCTCCATCTTCATTCAAGTATCCCCAATCCTCAGTCTGGCTAGAAATAAAGGACAGAAACAGAGGTGTCCAGTGTAGAGAGAGAGAGAGGAGCAGGTGGAGATCCCGGGAACCAGAGGTGACCAAGATTTGAAAACAGGAAGAAGGCAAAGCCGGCATGCTCCTCCTCCCCTTCCTCCAGCATTTTGGGGGGCTGTAGACTGCATCTGAGTACCCCAGGTTCCGTTACTGGCTGGGAAGGGGACTCTTGTGCTCTCCTGTGGGGCCCATTGATAATCACAGGAGGGAACATGTTGCCAAAGAGCAGAGGGCCGAGCTTGTTCTGACAGCTCTGTGAACAGCAGCGACCCAGCATCATATCCACCTCGAGCACCCATGGCACTTCCTTCTGTCAGAATCAGTTAAAGGGACAGACACACACAAACAGGGCCAGAAGGAAAGGGCCCTGTGTGTGCTTGGGTAGCTGCAGGTGGTGAGCAGGCCCTCGCTGCCAGGGAGGATAGGTATGCAGAGCAGCAGGTGAAGCACCAGGAGACCCTGGCCTCGAGCAGGCCAGGGGACTGCAAAACCCGCCTGCTTTTCAAAGCACTTCTGTCACTCCTTAAGGGTGCGAGGGTGTTAAATAGCCTCAACTCCAGCTCTCCTTGTAGAGGCTTATGTGAAGAATAACTAAATCAACTTCACAGGATGAGAACAAAAGGATCTACCACCCCCCTTGGCTTTGACCATGGGTACATTTTCCTGTTACCTAGGGGAAGCAGACATCTGCCTTCCACCTGCAAGCTACTGCTGCCTCAGGTCATGCAGAGTCCACCCAAGGGCAGCAAAGGTGGTTCCTGGAGGGCAGGCCTGTCAGATGCTCCTCACCCATGTACTCCCCGCCCCCACTACTCAGGGCCCTGGGCACGTGGAGATCCTCAAAGGCCAGTGGGACTGGGTGGCAGTGGATGAGCAGGGACCTACTTCCCCCACCAGGACTCCACCCCATGTATCCTAGAGAAGCTGCACCCACACTGCCTGATGCAAAGACCAGAACCCTTTCCTAACTCCCGGTGGCAAATCACCCATCCTCAGGTGTTTTTGACTCAGGTCAGTCACCGTCCCAACCCTGCTAGGTTGTGAGGTACATTACAGCCTCCCCCCCACCCCGGAGTTCAGGAGACCCTGCAGCGCTCACGTGGGCTGCTTCTTGCACAGAGCTAGTTACATCTGCACCAGGCCTTCCCTGACAGTCTGAGGACAGGCAGGAAAAACAGTGGTGAGGAAACTGCTGGGGACTCTATGGCTTCCACTCCCTGGGTCAACCCCTCACTATCCGCTTCACAGTAAAGAGAACTAGAACCAAGAAAGTTATCTTGGGGACCCCTTCTATATAGGACTTCTGCCCCCACAAATATACTGCCACCAATAGCTTGACTAAGGGCTGATCTTTATCGCCTCCCTTAGCAAGGGCCCTTGGGAGCAGGGCTTTCATCCAAGGGCCCACTACAGGCATTCTGGGGGGCTCTGAGGGGGACACATCAGGGCTAAGTGAACGAACACAGGGGTCCCTCTATGCCAGCCATCTCCTTTTCAGCATGAAGAAAGACACCAACCCCTGGTGGGGGTCTCAGGAGCCTCCTGCCTTCCTCTGAAGTTTTTGCTCTAATGCTGGCTGGCCCTCACTGTAGGAAGGGGTGCTGGGTCTCAGTCCTTCCACTTCCGCAACTCCCATGATGGCAGCTGCTGTCTGGGGTGGCACATGTGCGCTGCTGAGATATACCTCAAGGAAGTTAGCATTAAACCCATCACCAGCCTCATAGGGACAGAGTTCTGAATTCTGTGACGTGCTACACCCCATGGATGAAGACAAGGAGAGAACCCTGCAGCCCAGACACCACAGTGTTCAGAAAACCAGGCACAAAGAAAAGTTATAAATCAGCAAACCAAACGGAGAGAGCCCTTTGCTACTATGTGAAAGAGAACCAAATCCCCGAAATCTCCCTACTCCTCACACCCACAGGGGCCATAGCCAGGGAAGGAGCGCCACCTGTTGGTGTGATAGGGAAGAACACAAACAGCCCAGAAACTCATTGTTTTTTAAAATATGTGTTCTTGATGTCAATAAATATCCCTCTCACACACCATATACCGAGAAATAAGCAATGAGCGATTTCCAACTGCAGGAGGCAGTAAGGGATAGTGTTTAGGAAACTGGCTGGAGAGCCTGCTGTGCTGGGGCTCTTTGCCTGTACTCTTTGGGTCTGTTTCTTCATGCATCAGGTGACAGTGGTTCACTGAATGATGTCAAAGGGTTTTTCTAGATCTTTAACTATCATGCACCAGAAAAGGTATAGGAAAATATTTTCCCTCTGTGGCTATCTTAAGAAAATGGACCCACTGCTCTGCCATGGCGAAGGTCCTGCTTCCCGTAGAAGAAAACAGCTCGGAAATGATTTCAGTTTCTACAAAGACCCCTGTATACTCGGTGGATACTTTTATTTCTTCAGTCCACACCATGCTTTCTCTAAGCAGCCCAAGATATTTGCTGAAATCTGAGAAGTGGGAGGCAGCAGCCCACCCCCCAGAACAGAGAAACACCCAGGGCTGCAGGCCCGGCCACCCAAGTGGGCTGTCTACAATAGCTACGGATGTGTACTGAGTCACAGGGAACCACAGGTGTGCTGCTGACTCAGGACCAATGAGACTGTGAGGAAGGGGATGATGGCCTTCGAAGGAAGCCCAGGGTTCCTGGCCAGGAACAGTTAAAGGGAGGCTGCCTGCGGGAGGGGCTGGCAGAACCATGCTCTTCCCACCTCATCTGCCACTCTAAGCAAGACATCGTGCAGCAGCTGAGCTCAAGGCCAACGAGCCCTGACTTCAGGCAAATCTTCAGGAGACTACACACACCCCTGTCCTGGTCTCCACTGTCCTGGACAGACCAGACCCCATGGTGGAGTGTATGAGAACCACCACCCCAGGTGTATGTGGCAGTAATAAAGGTCATGCTAAATGTCTCCTCTTTTCTGGGACCTGACAGTGGAGGGGGCCTGCAAGGCAGGTTCCTGGGACCCAAGGAAAAGTCTACTAATAAATTCTGTAGCCTTGGCAGGGCTTGGCTAGAAGGGGTCAGGAGTCAATGAGCACTCTTCTTGGAGCCAGAACTGAGCTCATGTTCCCAGCTAGCTCTGTGACCTTGAGTGCCCGCCTAAAGGTGGGGCTGGTCCAGCAGCACCAGCAACCCCTCCCCTACCCCACTTCCTTGTCACTCTCCCAGAAACTGCCTGGAGAAGACACTTCCCACACCTTTGCTGGGTTTTCACAACCCCTTTCCCTATAGCTTTCCCTTATGTAAAATGGTAATAATAAGGCTGGTTTCTTAATTTTCAAGATGAAACAAAAGCTGCCCATATTCATGGAATTCCTCCTGCCAGAGCAGACCCCAGTACTGCTTCTCTGACTGGACCTAAAATCCAGGTGAAAGATGTAGATGTAAAGGCCAAAACACAACTCTACAACATTTGAAAGTCAACAAGTTAAGAGGTTCTGAATGTGGAGAGCATGGATTCTCGGAGGAACCATGACTAGGGTAGAGGGATGTCTGTACTCTCTCCAGAAATCAAAGCATAACTCAGTGAAGGAATGTAAAAATCTTCTAGGGACAGGATAACAAAATTCTAAAGGGTCCTGACCTATCCCCCCTGCTACCTGCACACACAAATACAATTTATATGCACACTCTAAACCCTCCATTGGAGGACAGCTGTAGGAAAGGCAAACCAAATCTCTATCCTCAAAGCACCCTGTTTCTGGGCAGCCTGTTGTAACGGGATGCCCTTCCCAGGGGGCACCCTCCTCCCTGGTACCCTGTGCTGGGGGCCTTTCCAGCTCAGTGCTGGGATTTGGTGCAATCATAAGGCTTTTGCGAAGCTGAAGAGGAAGCCAAATTGGAAGAGAGGAACCCACCACAGCCACTTCCATGACACCTGCTGTGACAGGCACTTGGGGACATGGTCTCGGGCTCCCCCCCACCCCCAAGGCAGCCCCTTTTTTCTGTTTAACTCAGGTTCATGGGCTACGAGTTGCCTGATGACTGCTGGACTTGCTGGGAAGGGAATTATTTTAAGATATAAGCTATTTTTATTTTATCACCATCATTATTGCTATAAAGAAGATAAGTCTGGGGTATTAATCTTCTGGAACACAGGGTGGGGACTGGATCCTTGACAAATGCGGGGATGGATAAAAAGGGGGCTGATAACAGTGTCGGTTCCAAAGAGCAAAGAGACGCCAGGCACGTGGCTGCTGTCCTCGTCCTTCAGTATCACCTGGGCTCTGGCTTCTCATTCATCCTATTTCTTATCTTCCGCAAGATGATTTAAAAATGACGGCATCTTGACTCCAGTTTTAGCACTGAGAGCATCTCCTCCACTCTCCTCTCCCTCCTTTACAGAAAAGAATGACCTCTCTCTCGAAATTCATTTCCTTTTCTCCTGGGGCCTGGTACAGCACCTTCACCTTCTGATCACCTGGGCAGCCCTAGTCTAGGAGCTGGACCTTCTGAATTCAATAACAGAGTACCTGTGTGCCCGAACCACTTAACCCTCTGAGCCTCAGTTTCCTTATCTGCAGAAAGAGGGGCTGCATTTAAAGATCTGGAAATCAGGGGCTGGGGTTATAGCTCAGTTGGTAGAGCATTTGTCTACCAAATTTGGCACATGAGACGCACTGGGTTCAATCCTCAGCACCACATTAGAAAAAAAATAAAGGTATTTTAAAAAAACCATTTAAAATCTGGAAGTTAAAGCACTAAGTCTTCAGTGATTGTTACAATCTTGCAAGGAACTTCAAGTCATGCCCACAGTGATTCTGAAGAAACATGTAGTGATCCATAGCTCAACAGGTAACTAGATGAGGTGAGAGAAATCAATCCAGGAAAAACCTGGCTCTGATTTTACAGGTGCCCAAGGGGGTGGCAAAAAAGCACAAGTAATAATGGTTACAATGCTTATTCCAGGGCCACTCAAGTTCTAAGTGCTTTGCAGACTAACCCACCAGTTCTTCTCACACCCAGTGGATGTACTCTGCTATGAGACAATTCACAGATGAGGCACCAAGAGGTCACACAGCAGTCACCAGACAGCAAGTGAAAAGGGGACTCCAGAGCCCACGGCCACTCCTGGGGGGCCTGTCTGGTGTACTGTCAGCCCCAGCTCCGCTCCCACAAACATGCACCCCTTTTGCCATAAGCCTTGGTTAGCTCATCCTTCAGGAGGGACCAGAGGTTATTCATCAGCTAAACTTGGGGGAAATCTCATTTGGGGTAACAAGGTAGAGGGAGAACATTCTGAATCCACTTTAGTAGTGCCTCAAATAACTCCCCCCATCCCCCGCCCAATGCTGAGCACATGGCCAGTGCCTGAGGACCAGGGCAGGACCCCCCACCCCCACCCCCGGTCCCAGGTCTAGCTTACAAAGAGGGAGGCCTTACCTGTTTGTCTGGCATACCCCATGATAGGCCTCAATGGCATCTTCCTGGTCCACATGCTTTTCACTGTTAGGCCAACTTGCTCTGGCATTAATGTTTGGCTCCTGGAAGGCCCCACATAAACAAAACACCTTGGATTACAAAACTGCATGGAATGGCTTCATACACAGAGGTTTAAAAACATGCCTCTAGGAAAAGAGAAAGACCTGGAAGATCTCAGATGGTAAGAAGGTGACTTCAAAAGGTCACCTTGCATCTTGGAAGGGTTACAGAATGGCAAGGCCCACCCATGAGACACTGAGTGCTAGCAGTGGGGGAGATGACACGCACAGTGACACTGGAAAGAAAAAACACCCCTTGTCCAGAGGACACGATTAGAGTGTGGCTTGGCGTTGAATCCACCACACTCAGTACAGTCTCCTCACAGGCCACTCCAGCCCCCAGGCCCAGAAGTCACCCAGCATAGGCCATCGAGTCATTCAGATGGCCTCTGTCCCCTTCCTTCCACTCTACATTCTGTCCCAGAAGGTGCAACATTAAGAATACTAAGTGGGACATGGTCACCCTGGGAGGACACAGAAGAGTTCTCTCCACTTCAGAAGTGAAGTAAACAGCAAGGGGCATGAGATGAAAATCACAGCCACCTCAGAGTACCTATCTAATTCTTTCTCATTCCTTGTGAACATCTCATTAACTTCAGGATATTCTAGAAACATCTACATCTGGCTTAGGGCAGTGAGTCCCTTGTGATGCCTTGAGAGGAGACCAGAGTCAGACTCTGCTCTTTCAGACTCAAGCCCCCGATGGATAAAGACACATAAGAAAACCCATGTCTATGACCTAGTGTCACCCACATCAAGCCTAACCACGGCCACCATCTTGTTACCATGCTCTTGCCAGCAAGTCGGCGCTGGTCAGCGTTCACGATCTGGGTCCTGAGGATGAGCACCTCCTCTTTTCGGACCTCCAGCTCCTCGTTGGCCAGCTTGAGCTGGTTCAGCAGGAGGCTGTAGCTGTCAGGGGAGCTGTGGGAGGAGTTGTTCTGTGTGGCTTGGTCAGCTACTGCTTTCCTCAGCTCATTCAGGTCATTCTTCAGCTTTTTGTTCTCTGACTCCAGCTCCTGCCTCTGGAAGACAGCCCAGTGACACTCCCCATTACTGTCTGGATCCAGGGCACTCTCCCCTGTGGGCCTCCTCCTTTCCTGCCTTAACCACTTGCCCCGTCTACTGGGGAAGTGAAGAGCCATTTCCCCATTTTAATAGCAAAATGCACGATGAAAGTTCTGACTGGCATCAGCAAGCAATGCTGGGACCTGGATTTGAACTCACAACCCCAAGTTCTCTGTGTAAGGAATGTCGCAGTCTCTCTCTAGCATTCCCCAAAGTCGTTCAATATGCTAGTGTTTCCAAGCACATTTGGCTATGACACCCTTCTTTGTTGAAACATTGGACTTTGTTTTTTGCAGTACCAGGGACCAAACCCAGGGCCTCATAAATGCTAAGCAAGTGTTCTACACCCGAGATACACTCCCAGTCCCCCAGTTCATCATTTTAAACATGCTGTTAGCACAGGACTTTCTGAAGCCTTAGTATGCCCATATGCTTTTTGACTTTCCAAGAGGGGATACAGAATGCACGGTTGCCTTAACTTATTTGTCCGGAGCACTCCCCTGGTTTTTCAAGGAATATCATGTGGAGTAATACACTGGAGAACATACCAGCAAAATTGTATTGCCATTTTGATCACTTGGAAAACCAGTAACTCAATGACAGTGCAGGGAAAACTCCTAGCATACAGTTAAAATCACTGTTGAGACAACTTGGAAATGTGTTTTACATCTTCTAGGTAGTATATTTAACTTTGTGTTTGAGGTTTAAATTTAAAGTCCTATGATCACAAATTGTGGTACAGCTCTGGCAGAGACAGGACTCAAAATTTCTGAGAAAACTAACAAATGTGATAAGTAGATGCTGCTGGTGTGTTTGTTACAGAGCCATAGGATGACAGAACCAGGACACCACCTCTATTTTCCACATGAGGAAGGCGAGTCCAGGGAAGAGAAGGATCACAGCGAGTTTAGACCCTGAGCTGGATGAGGGGCTGGGTCTCTCGTTCGCACCACTCCAACCTACACATGAAGATTTCAGGGGAGATGAGCCACACATGGTGTGATTCTGCAGACACAAGTGGGACCCTGGGGGTAAAGTGACCTATGCTTAATATTACTGATGAGTTTATCAGCCCCATGTGAATCTATTAAGTCCAGAGGTCAAAATCCACTCAATGCCCGAGTGGCATTCTCAGAGGTGGCCGAGGGCGATACTCAGGGCATCCTTCATTGCTTGGCAGAGGAACACCAGGATTGAAGCAGGAGCCCTGGGTTCTTACCCTGGCTCCAGGCTACTCCGTCCAGCCCTGGGCCTTTGCCTCCTCAGGTGTGGCTTAAAGGAGTGACAGCAGATGGTGTCTGAAGTGTTCTCTAGCTCTGATCAGCCAGACGGGCTCAGTGACACTGGCTGTAGGCTAGGTGTCTGTGTGCACTCATCCCATGTCCCTGCTCAGCAGCGAGATCCTGCTGTAGGACAAAGAAGGCCACGTGGGGGAAAGTGCGTCCGCTTTCCCACAAAGATGTCTACCCAGGGGACAGCTGTGAAGTGTCTCTTCACGCCTTCTCCATCCATCCCTGGATGCTCTCCACCTTCACTATTCCCCAGGTCCCTCCCAGCACCTCTGCCCTCTTTGCTGACTGCCATCCTCACACCATTCTTTCTGGTCAAACAGTGTCAAAAAAGTATGTGTTTATTGTGGTTGGAAACACATAACGCGAGATTTGCCATTGACTGTTGTTAGGTACGTGTTTCTGAAACATCAGCATGTTCACATCACTCCACAAACTTTACCTCCTCCATCTCCACATTTTTTTCCCCTTCCCAACTGAAAATGTCCTTATTAAAAACCAACTCCCAGGCTGGGTGCAGTGGTACATGCCTATAATTCCAGGTACTCAGGAAGCTGAGTCACAACTCCAAGTTCAAGGCCTATCTGGATAACATAGTTGAGATCCCATCTCAAGAAAACAAAAAAAATTTTTCAGCAACCGCTGTTCGCCCCCTGCCCCTCCCCCTCCCCAGTCCCTGGCAGCCATCACTCTACTTTCTGGCTGAGTTTGACCCCTCTAGGTACCTCACTTGAGTATCATCACACAGTGTGTGTGTGTGTGTGTGTGTGTGAAGGACATACTTTTGATGTACTTAAATGCCATGCTGTCCCAGCTGGAGGACATGGCGTTCTGTTCCTTTATCCTTCCTTCCCACCACCAATTATTCTCTGCCTTTACATTTGGCACCATGCTTGGTGCTGTGGACACAGAACCCCACTTAGAACCTAATAATTACACTAAAATACAAATCATTATATTGTTTGGAACATGCCATGACACAAGTGAACCAGGGGACAGAGAAGACACCACCTACTGAGTCTTAGGGGTAAAAACAGGTTCCTGGAGGACAGGTGATGCCTAACCTGACAAGTAAAGGACCGGGAGCAGTTAGAAGCGTGGGAAGACTTCCAGGTCCAGGTATAAAGGCTCAACAAAAGGGGAAGCAGGGCTTGCCCAGGAAATGCTGTCCTGAGGAGTGCGCGGGGCCGGGAGGGGGAGGGGTCCGGGAGGGGGCCAGGAGGGGGAGGGCTGTGAAAAGCCAGGGAAGGAGCTGGATTTAGGAAGGGCAGCACCTCAGAGAGGCCTCTTCCATTGCTAGGGGGAGACTAGACATCTAGGCAGAGGCAAGAGCAAGGTTGCAAGGGTGGCAGCAGTGAGGACAGAGTGAGTGCATGTCCCTGAGTTAGGAAGTAGAATCTCAGGACTATCTGGATGTCGGAGGTGAGAGAGAAAAGAACCTGGATGTTTGGGCCACGTTCATGCCCTAAAGGGGTTTTGGAGTTCAGAAAGTCCACAGTGATCCCCATGGTGCAACAGCAGTCAGAATGATGGTTCAAGGATTCTAGATAAAAGGGTAAGCTAGAGATAGACAAGTGTGTTGATAATGACTGACATTTGGGAGGGTACATGGGATGGGGGTTAAAACCATCCAGGAAAACAATGCAGAGGACACCTGAGAGCAGGCCAGGGCTAGGGTGCTGCACACCCCACATTTCCAGGTTCCCCTTTCAGGGTTCCTCTGGCCTGCCCCTGGTCTCTCATCAAGTGGCTGGATTAGACACTGAACCAGGCAGATGAACCTTACTGTACAGAATTTAGGCACCTATTTTTTAAATTTTGTTTTGTTTTACTACATTCCTGGAGAGCACCCCATAGAGGTATTCACCGCAAAGTGAGCCTCAGTTCCCATGGGAAGAGTGCCAGCATTGAAGGCTGCATGATTTCAGTTAAGGGACAAATGTGTTTCTACATAGGATCAATGCCACCCCCACAACCCTGCAACTCCACAATGTTTTAAACCAGTAAAACTGATCCATGTCCTATAAAATAAGCTAAAGTTGTACAACCAGCTCCATGTCAGAGTAGTTGCTTTCTTAATATTCTGAAGAATTCTAGTGGAATAATCATGAATGATCCTGTTTCCTCAAAAAACAAACCACCACCAAAACCTAGTTTCATGATGGTACAACAGTAAAACATGGGAATGATGAACATGGTCAACAATTAGAGAATCAAAGAAAATTGTTATAAAATTTCAACCAACCATGAAAATCATGTTTACATAGATCATGAAAAAAATATCAAGTTACATATATCAGATATCTAAGTAATACATAGAATAAGCATTGGAAAGGAATATTCAAATAATTTTAGAGGCTGCTTTTAAGAGGCAGGGATAGTGTTTTTTGAAAAAATTCTTTTATATTTCCCTGTATTTTTTTCTATGATAAGCAGCCTTACTTTAATAAATTTACAAATAAAATGGAAAGCTGCTGTAGAAAAAGCACATTAAGAAAGAAAACAACCCTACCCCTGTCAGGATTTTAATTAGACCTTTCTTGATTCATGCTCACCAATGGACGAGGCAAAGTTTGAGTGGTAGGTTGAGATGGAAAGGATCTAGGTGTCAACCTGGGCTCTTAGACACCTTATTTTTCTTCTGCAAGCCGAGTCAGCGCTCACCATCTCCTGATCTCAGTCTAGCTCTGGCCGATAGCAGGAAAACCCAGAACTGCAGGTATCCTTGAGCAGGTCTACTTTCTGCCCAGCACACTCCTAGGCCAGAGGCAGTCACAGGTCCTTTTGGCACCTGTCCCATCCCTCAGCTGATACCCAGCTCCAGGGGATAGTGAGCTTCAGCCCCACCTACTCTGACAACATCCATGGCTCACTCTCCTCTGCCTTGTTCACCCTAGACTGGTGGCTATTTAAGGGCATCTCATCTTCCAGCCCAGCCACACCCCCTCAGGCCTCCTTAGACAATGCTCTGCCCCATGTGACCATCCCCAAGGACCTTTGACCAGACCTTATCCCCAATAGTTGGCATACCCAAACCTTGTGCATGGTACCTGAACAATGTGCCTCTGTCCTGAGCTGGGGTTATGTTATGTGTTATAGAAGGATCTGGGGAAATATCTAACATTCTGGTAGTGAGTACCTAGGTTTCAACAAAAATTACTTCTCTTTGAAGGGTCTTCCAAGTGTATCCTCATCTCATACATGTGCTTGTGGGCAGGTTTCTAAGACCCAACTGGAAAACAATCCCCCCAAACCAAGTAAGGATGAACTAAATATAGTAAATACAGAGTAAAATTATTATTCCTTAAGAAAAATTCTCACATGCTACAAGATGGGTGAACCTTGACATTATTAAACTAAGTGAAAAACTGGTCATAAAAAGATGAATGTTGTACGATTCCACTTACATGACATACCTAGAATAGTCCAATTCATAGAGATAGAAAGTAGAATGGTGGTAGTCAAGGGATGAGGAGAGAGGGGAAAGGGGAGTTACTTAATGGAGATGGAATTTCGGTTTTTCAAGATGAAAAGAGTCATAGGGATGGATAGTGGTGAGATGCTTGTATAATATGTGAATATATTTAATATCACTGATCCAGATGCTCAAAAATAGTTGAGATGGTAAATTTTACATTATGTGCACTTTACTATGGTAAATTTGGAAGGAAAAAAAGCCATGGAAATGATTTAGTGATGTTTTCTTGGGCAAAGTGGCTGCCAGCAGTTATCTGAATGGCAGACTGGATAAACTGCCCCATTACCAAGTCTTTGGGGATGGGCCAAGAGCGTGGGGCTCTTCTCATGTCTCTTTCATACCATGGGCCCATTGGTCCTTGCCTGAGGCCTCCACCACTGCACCTTGCTGTCTCCTACCAGGCCAGCCTCTGATACACAGAGTCATCCTCTGCCTTACATCTGCTGGTACAAGTCTGCACTTTCAAAGCAATTTCATTCCAGTGGCCACACTTCAACTGAAACTGTATCAGATAGGCCAGGCACAGATTAGCGTACCTTGGGGTAAATATAAACTTTTCCTTCATTTAAAAAATGAAGACACTAAACTGCGAAAGGAAATTAGAACCTGGTTTTCTTGTCCCAGCTTGTCATTTGTCCTATGCCAGAGGACAGCCAACCTTACCTTCAGACTATTGTAGGCCAGATCTGCATCCTGGTCCAAATCTACATCATTCCTTGGTTGTTCCATCTGTATAGGCAAAGACACAGATAGGTAAGCATGGACCGCAGGGCACACAGTCCACACAAATATTTCTGACCAAAGGCAAAACTTGCTTATCTTGCTTTTGCAAGAATACCTGGCACCTCTTCCTTTCACGAGTGCATTTCCCTCCCACTTACAAAACACAGCTCCACACTCAAGCTACCACGAGGCACTCCATAAATTCCCCCCTCCTGCCTCTACTTCACGTGCATGGTACCCGGAGGCACTCATAATATTGAATTCATATGACACCATGTTATGAGTGTGCTCTCCCAGAGCCTGTGAATATGACCTTATTTGGACATAGGGTTTCTGCAGATACAATCAAGGTAAATGAAGTCATTAGGGGGAGCCCTGTTTCCATAGGACTGGTGCCCTCATAAGAAAAGACAAACATGGAGTAAAGGCAGCTATGGAAAGATGGAAGCAGGAATTGGAGTCACACAGCTGTAAGTCAAGGAGCACCAGGGGTTGCAGGCAATGCTGGAAGTCAAAACACAGCATGGGACAGATTTTCCCCTAGAGCCTTCAGAGCACAGACTTGAATTCTGACTTTTGGACTCTGGAACTATGAAAAACAAACTTCTGTTGTTGCAAGCTATTCAGTCAGTGGTATTTGGTTTCAGAAGCCTTTGGATGCTAATATACATGGTAAAACTTCAGTATCTATTAATGATGTTAATGAGCTATACTTCAGTTATGGGGGTGTGCTCATGTGTATTCTGTTTCAACTAAATTCAAAGTGCCTTGCTTACAGCTACCTCCTCCATGACCCTCCAAAACAGGAAGCAGGACATCTGGCCCACAGGGATGCTCAGTATATGCAGTCTGCCTTCAGGATTCCAAAGCTTTTGGTTGTACACAGTAATGGCTGGAATAAAAAGACTCAGCTGAGCCAAGGAATCCTATAGTTATGTGGCAGTCATTGGACTTGATTTGTCCATGGAGAAAAGGTAGAAACAGCTTCATAAGTGCTTAACTGCTTGGGTTAAATTTCAGTAATGAGTGTTATTCCTGAAGATGAGTCTACAGTTAAAAACTTCCAAATACTTATGGATTACCTACAGTGCTAACAACCCAACGTCCAGGTAAGGCCATCACTAGCTGTGGATGGATCGGATGTGCCCTGAACTTGGAGATGGGCACAGGGCCTGAGCACCTCCTACAGCCCCTGCCACCTATAGTCACTGCATTGCTTCTAGCACTACAACCTGGGGAAAACCCCACCTCTGTCTTGTCCGTCCTGATCACCTGTGGTACAAGGGATGTGACTGGCCAGGACTGACACTACAACTGTTACCCCAGTGAGTAAGCCTGAATTTTATTCTATATAGTACACATTGGCCTCAAGACAACATGGTTTTCAATACATGAGATTTTCAGGAAATGGGGATCACCTCTTCAAACTCAAGGGGCTGTGTACTAAGATGGGCTGTTTCCCAGGGCTCAGTCTTCTGGAATTCCTCTAGTGGCCAAAGAGAAAAACTTTGCCAGGCCTACGGAAAGGAAGCTGAGTAGACGCGAGGTCAAAATAAACTGGCAGCTGGCTCACTGCCACAGAGGACCCACCTTTGCAGAAGCTCAGTTGCTCCCACACCAGGGGTACACACCAGACTTCCCTGCTATTTCTTGCTCAGGAATGACCTCTATGGCTGGGACCTGGGGCCATCCCTCTCCAGAAACAAACAAAAACACCCTGGTAGCTTAGGATTCCTCTGGGAACGAAGGGCAGACTCAGGACCCTGATCTCTACAAGCTCCATCTCAGGGGCTCTAGAGGGATTCCGTACTCTTCCCTGTCCCATGCCTGCCCTTCTTACTAAATGCTGGAAACAAGGACATTCTCCTTTAAAAACCATGCCAAGACACATGACAGCGCTAGGGTGTGAGCCTATCATTCCAATGCTTGCTCAGTGAGATGTTTCAAGGAAAGAGATACCCTTTTACTTGGTATCAATGACATACAAATTTGAGGCCAGAAACTTCTGTCAGGCATTGTCTGGTGTCATCTGCGTAGCTTTTCATGTATAGATGGTCTCTGATTATGATAGCCGACTTATAATCTTTCAAGTTTACGATGGTATTAAAGCAATGTGTGTTCAGCAAAATGTGTATTTCAAATTTTGAATTTGGATCATCTCTCATGCAAGTGATCACCAGCTACTCTCTGGTGACACTGGGCTGGGCAGCATGCCACAGTTCCCGGTCAGCCCCACGATCATGAGGGGAAACAACCAAGGCTCTACAGTGGACCTTGTTGCCAAGTTCCGGTATTTGGCAGGTCAGCTGTATTTGACCCATTTTCAACTGATGATTTTATTGGGACGTAACTCGGTAACCCATGCCGAGTCCAGGGGCGTCTGCACAGTATCTGATTTGCACCTACCTGTCAAGGTGGCATCCCTTATGATCGAAGGAGTCATTTATAAACCTAATCCTTTCTCCATTCTGAATCTAAGCCCATCTGAGAGATCTAAATCCATCAGCGAGATTTACCTCTCCACTTACTGCTGAGTAAAACAAAACGCCCAAGAATTTGATAGCAATAGAGATTTGAGTGAATGCCACATTTGAATGGAAAGGGAAGACCATGCAGTCAGCTAATGGTATGACCCAGGTGAGAGGTGGATTTCTGTCTCTCAAAAAAATGGTGTGTATGTCCCCAAAGAGATAAAAAGTGGCCCTTACCTCCTGCTGCTGTTGCCACAGCACCAACCTGCTTGTTCTCACTCTGCCTTCCTGTGAGCGCCACCAAGATGATCACCTACTGTCCACCAATCTATTTCTGCTACTCCCAAACTAGATTTTGAAATCCTCCATGGCTGAGGACTGCTGACATTTTCATCTCCTCTTGAACACACACTTTGTGTACCCTCCATGAGCCTGGTGCTGGCACACTTCTGGGGATAGCACAGGCACCTAATAGGTCCTCCAGAGAATGATTACTTCTTGGCCACGAAATTTCAAATAACATCAAGACTAAAGAGGCTGATGATGATCAGGACTATGGCAAAGGTACAGCCACGGCCACTGAAGGGCGAGTGACTGTGCCTCTGGGCTGCCCTGACTAGGTGGCTGAGCTCAAGCCCATGCCAGATCCAGGTATGAAAAGGCAACTGGCTTTCTCTGACAAAATTTGACTTTTATATGTAATTTCACAGCATTTTTGTAAGTGGCACAAAATGCCAGATCCCCCTGCAGCTTCCCAGTGGAAAGCCTTTGCCCTGGGGACCCTGGGGTAGTGCATCCTGCCCAGCTGGGTGGCATGGGCACTGGTAGAGGAGACTCAGTGTGACTCCAGCACAGAGGGAATGTACCCTGAAACTCAGCCCCGACATGATCCCACAGGGTCACACCTGCCACCTGAGCTCTGGTAGGTGTGAGGTGGGTCGCACTAGTCCTGCCACACACCTGGACTTTCTTGCTGTCCTGCTCCCTCTTCTCCAGCTGCACCTGCAGCTTCTTCCTCTCCTGCTCAAGCTCCCGCACCCTCTTCTGCAGCTTCAGGAACACCGTCATGTCCATGGCTGCCTTCTCCACGCCAATTTCCTGTAAAGGAAGAAGGGAGCAAGGAAAAGAGGCTTTCAGGGCCCAAGCGCCTTCGGGAGCACACAGCACCTATCAGCCACCTGTCTCCTTGCTCCTCCCAAACATCAATTGTGCCTGAAATACAAAGTCGACGCCAACCAACCGGCATTGCTCATATCACAGTTGGTGCTCCAGGCTCATTTTCTGTCTAGATTAACGTCCGAGTCTCAGCCATTTACATTTCTCCTGTGTTGGCCACTTAAAATGACCAATCCCATATTTTAAGAACAAATAGATAGAGATACATTCATTTTCTTTGGAAGCTAAAAGAGTTCACTCCTGGAAAGTGAACCATAAAACTCAGGATATCATGCTTCCTGATGAAGAATCGATGTCTTTACTAATCATTGTAAATATGCTGTCGGCCACCACTGGATTGCATCTTGAAATGGAACCAACACGTCGTTTAGGTTGTGGATGATTGAGCCAGAGCATATAAATGCATTGGTGCAGATATGAAGAAATGCTAGGTGGGGTTGGTTGATACCAATGGTTACTATTATTAGTCCTAGTTGACTAAGTAGAAAATGAGACTTTTTTTTTTTTTTTTAACATCATTTTGGGTTAGAGAACAGATGGCAGTAAATAGGGTAGCCCAGTTTGGGCCTTAGCTATCATGAATTCAGACATTTTAAGACTACTTTTGCATATTATTTTTATTAGAACTAGGGCTTTTTATTAGCTTAGTAGAGACTTAAAGAACTCTGCAAACACCAACCCTGCCTGTTTACCAAAAACATCACCTCTAGCATAAACAGTATTAGAGGCACTGCCTGCCCAGTAACATGTTTAATGGCCATGGTATCCTGACCATGCAAAGGTAGCATAATCACTTGTTCCTTAAATAGGGATGGTATGAATGGCTTAACGGGGTTTTAACTGTCTCTTACTTTCAGTAAAATTAATCTTTCTGAGAAGAGGCAGGAATAAACAAAGAAGATGAGAAGACCCTATGGAGCTTAAAATTTCATAGCCAAAGCATCCCCAGTAATACCCAAGGATTGCATCTTGAAATGGAGCCCTGCCATGGAACTCAAAAAGATCTTAAAGCATCAATTTCCTAGATTTTTTCCCCTTGTCAGATTCATGCCTAGATTTGCCCTCCAGGGTTCTGTTATGTGTAGGTTTGTGTGTACAGACATGTGACTGGGTAATGTGTATGAATACAGACTGTTTTTAAGTACACATATGTGAATGCATGACAATATGATCTGGTTCCACCCTCATTTAATAAGCGCTCTATGCTTAGCTGTCACTGGATAGGTCTTGCTTCCTTGGAGAATGCAGACCTGGGGATGGCAGTGCTTCTGTGTGGAAACAGGCAAACACAAACTGGGCAGTGCACCAGCAGCTCAGTCCAAATGGAGCTCCCAGTGACCTAGACCGAGAGCCCCCCAAGAGCAAAGCCAATGGCCTTAAGCCAGCATTTATTAAAGGCTCACCAAGTGCACATAGCAAGCTCCGCAGAACTGTACAACAGCCAGAAGACTTTCTGCTGAGGATCTCTTCCCTCCCTCCACCCTCTATTCCATTGTTTTCTGTCTTTATCAACTTTCACTTTTCTTCATAACACTTAGTGGTACCTGAAATTATATCGCACATTTTTTCTTTTCACTATTTACTGTCTAACTCTCCACTAGATAAGCTCCATGAGGGCAGAGGCCTTCTCTGGCTTGTTACTATTTTTTTATATCCACATGACACAGACATGCTGGAAACACACTTAGTTGTAACAGTCTCTTTCCCAAGTCTACCTCCACCTGCTTTATATTATCTTCCTACTAGGGGAATCAATATGCCTATACATCTTTGATAGAATGAAACACACAACACATATTGTATGGTATTTGACTTCAAGATGGCAAGAGCTATTATCAGCACAAAGAGACACCCCTGCACATTTCTGTTTCACACACTATTCTTGAGTTACCCAGCTTCCAAGTTGGAGGGGAGAATTCTGTGTTGTACTTATTCATATTACCATATGCACTGTTACTAAATGGGAGGGGTAATAAACTGTACCTGTTTTAATCACTTTGCCTTCTTAAGTGAGTCATTTTAGCCCTCTGCCCCAGTTTTGTTAGGGGAACCAGGGATCTACCTTCCTCCCTTCCTTCTGTATAGTGAATTAGGGAAGTTCAGGCTGCTCAGCACGGAAAATGTTAGCCCCGAGCTGAGTGTGATCTGTAAGTCCACTGCAGTCCCAGTCAGTGATCCTGCTTCTCCAGGACTAGCCCCAGTGCACTCTGGTCACCACCAACAGCTGGTCTGTTAGGCAGCACCACAGGTAATAAACACTCACTCTGGGGTGGGGGAGCCACCAAGAACCCTCTCACCTACCTCCACCTGCTGGAGGGCATCCTCAGTGTCTCCGATCTCAGATGTGGATATGGAGGGGTAATTGGAGTCAGATTCCAAGCTACTCTGGTTTGATGGGTTCCGCCTATGACCTGGGGTTTGCTGTTCAGAAAAAGAGATGCAACATGTCATAATGAACTCATTTATTAGTAAGAACTAACTTAAGAAGCAGCACGCCTTGGATTTGCTCCTGCTTCATTTGTCAGCACGAATAGGTATCACAGTTTCTCAAAACGATGGCTAAATAGAGCTATTCCCACAAAAGACCTCACCTGTAGTTCTTAGTCATCCACCTAGCTAGCCATCAACGTGACAGAAGACAGCGTGGCTCTGCAGGAAGGATTGTGTTCCTTGGTCTCTCAATGGCAGGCAAACCCACAATGCCAAGGCCTATTTCTCTGAACAATCCTTGGGGAACGACTCGTCATTCCCAGTCTTGTCCTCAAAATATGTAAAGGGTCCCACACCCAGGCTGTCTCTTAAAAAGAACACTCAGGAAGCTGAGGCAGGAGGATCACAGATTCAAGGTCAGCCTGGTCAACTTAGCAAGAACTTGTCTCGAAATAAATAAAAAGGGCTGGGGGAAGGCTGCCCCAAACAATCCCTCCCTTCAACTGGCGCACCAGTCTTGTTTATGGTGGAGCATATCAGAATAGAAGCAATCAAAAATAGATTTACCATTTATACAGCTCATTTAAAAATATATTTGGGTTTATTTTTTGGCATCTGCTTTGGATTTCATAGTGAAAAGTGAGCTTAGAGGAAGACTGCAGATTTCTATATAAGTTCCTATTCAGCTTCTCTTCCTGGCTTCTACACAATTAACTCTTTTGGTCTTGAGATGCATGTCTTGAGGGAATGTTTATATGGGGTAAAGAATGATGAATCCTGAAATATGAAAATGCTTCACATACCCTGTTTTTCATGAGATAGGAGGCATGAGCAGGCCCATGGGCTTCTCTGCTACACATACTATTACACACTTCAGTGTAGCCGAGTTAAAGCCCCGACACCATTACTGTGTCAACATAGGAGTCTTCCTAGAACAAGAAACAGGAGCCATCACACAATACTTGATGGGGATTTTTTTTTTTTTGTACTGGGGATTGAACCCACCACTGAGCTACATTCCCAGGACCCCATCACCTGCACTTTAAAATTTTGGGACAGGGTCTCACTGAGATGCTGAGATTGACCTTGAACTTGTGATCCTCTTGCCTTAGCCTTCCGAGTCACTGGCAGTATAGTCATGTGCCATAGCACCTAGCTCAGCTCCTGAGATCTTTACAAAACCTTGACCCTGGAAAAAGAGCATCCTCAGGAAGGAACCTCCCAGCTCAGTTCCTCCCATGCATGCAAGTACAGACACCAGGGGTCTGCTGTGTGCGTACATGTGTACTGAGCATCACGGTGGGTCAGGTGCACCAGGGCAAGGGCCATAAGGCCAGGTTGGAAAGGGGAGACAGAGGGGCCAGCATTGCAGAACTGCCCTCCTTGCCTTTAGAATGGTCACCTCATCCCGCAGGTTGTCGTATCTCTGCTCCAACCGGGAATATTCCTTCACCAGGTTCTGGTACCGGGAACGCTCCTCCTCCAGCTCTTTCTTCATCAGAAGGTTCTCCTTCACGGAGTTTTGTGCAAATTCATCTGTAATGAAGGCACACTGAGCTGCAGTGCTGCCATCTGAGTGGACCCCCCTTACACGCATTGTCACCTGCTTTCTATTGTCAAGAGGCAGCCGAGCGCGAGCTCATCACCTGATGGCCTGCGCAACTCCTCACCTACTGCAAAGCAGGGGAAGCTCATCACTCTGGCCTAAGTCTTCAGAAAAGGGAGAAGAAACAACTCTGCCCTGGAGGTGGGGCGGGAGGAGCCTGGATAATCCACCTGCCTCTCAGTGACAACTGCCAGCAACTGAGGGCAGCATTCCTGGCAGAACCGAAGCTGCTTCCCAGCTCCTTCTCTATTCCTGATTTTTTAGGTTCTGGAGTGCAGGAGGTTGGAGGAGATTAAGCCAAAAGTGAGGCTGGGGAAGGAGGAAAGTCAAAGAAGCAACACAGATGGGCTTTTGTCCTGGCCAAGCTTGATACAGCAAGGGAAGCTTTTTAAGGGGAAATTGACAAACCATGTTACAATATTTTATGCCGGATGGCACTGTGAGGTCATGTGGTTCGGCTGCCTGGTGATATGGATGAGGAATCTGAGGATGGGGGCCGGGGACTGGGTCACACAGATCTGGGGACAGAACTGGAGTCCATAGGCTCCCTTTGCCCCTCCATAGCCAAGTGGATGGCAGTCCAGGAGCTGGTGGGTGCTTGAGGTTGACCTGGGGTCTAATCCAAGACCTCTGCTTGAGCAGCCATTAACAGATGACTCACTAGATAACAGAAACAGGTACTGTGGATGCTGAAGGTAGATGTTAACAGCACAAGGGCGCTCACTGCAAGCTCCAGCCTTAGCCCTTCACCTGTGCATCTTCCTCCTGTGAGCTCTGTCCTCTGACCAGTTTGCATAGAAATAAATCCAGAAGCTGCCCAAGGCCACACAGCAGAGGCTGCTTGGCATCGCTCTCTTCAAACCGAATGTCACAGCATGAACTTAGAGATCACCCCACCCCCATTCAAGCCCTTCCTCCACTGCAGTGTCTAGGAGTCTTTGGGGGAAAACCAGAGAGGAAGAGATTAAAATCCAAACAAAACTCAAGGGCTTTGGGCCTTACCTTTAGATTGGCACAGAATTTGGTTATTCAGCTGTTCTTTCTCATCTTTCAGGAGAGCATTTTCTTGCTCCAGGTCTGCAACTCTCTGAAAGAACAGGAAAAAATGATCCCTCGTGTATTTATAATAGCATCAAAAATAGTTAGGAAAAAGCTCAAGTGTTATGAAACTGTAAATTACTATTGAAAAAAATTATAGATCTAAATAAACTGAAAAACCTGGAGGTAATGGATTAAAAGACAATATTGTTAAGATAGTAACACTCCTCGAATTTATTTACAAATGCAACATAAGGATCAAGATCCCAGCTGGCTTCTTTGCAGAAATTAACAAGCTGACCCTAAAATTCATATGGAAAATCTACAGAATAGACAAAATACCTTGAAAAAGAAAGACAAAGCTATAGGAATTCCACTTCTAAATTTTAAAACTTACTATAATATATGGTACTCAGGAGTGTGGTGCTGGCATAAGGAAAGACATGCAGATCAATGACATACAACTGTCACAGTGACGTTGACAGTCAATTGATTTTTGACAAGAGTGCCAAAACAATTCTATTAGGGAATGAATAGTCTGTTCATTAAATGGTACAAGGGAAAATGGATATCTATACTTGCAAATGAATGATGTTGGACCACTATTTCACCACATATAGAAATTGACTCAAAGACAAACGAGATAAAACTGTAAATCTCTTAAAACATAGGGAGCAAGTCATTGTGACCTTGGATCAGGCAAGGTTTTCTTAGATACAACACCAAAACCATCAAAAGAAAAAGAGTAAATTGGAGTATCAAAATTTATGTGCACCCTAAACATCAAGACAGTGAAAAGATGGGAGAAAACATTTGCAAATCCTATATCCGATATAGGACTCGTGCCATGAACATATAAAGAACACTTGGAGCTTAACAATAAAAAGACAAACCGGTATAAAAATTGGGCAAAGGACTGGAACACACATTTCTACATATTTGATCTTAGCTAGAAGGCTGAGAAGTGGTGACACTTCTCCAAAGACTTACAAATGGCCAACAGCAACTGAAAAGATCTCATTGTCATTAGGGAAATGCAAACCAAACCCACAATGTGATGCTACTTCACACGCTAGGATGGCTATACTATGACTTGCTCCCTATGTTTTAAAAGTTTTACAGTTTTATCTTGTTTGTCTTTGAGTCAATTTCTATACAGTAATAAGAATTGGTAAGGATGTGAAGCAATCAGAACCCTTGTACTTCTGGAGGGAATTTAAAAGTATAGCAGTTTTGGAAAAATAGTCTGGCACTTCCTCAAGGTTAAATAGTTGTCACATGACCTAGAAATTCCACTCCTAAGTATAACTCCAAAAGAAAGAAAAACTTACCCCACGTGAAAACTTGCAAAGATTTTTAGAGCAACATTCATAAGAGTGTAAATAACCCCAAAGTTCACCAACTAATGAACAAAACATGGTCGATCCATACAATGAAATTATTTAGTAATAAAAAAGAATGAAGTATTGCATCTATACTAAGTAAAAGATGCCAGTCACAAAAAGACCACATATTGCATGATTCTGCTTATATGAAATGTCCAGAAGAGGCAAATCTACAGAGACAAGTAGGTTAGGGATTGACTAGGATGGGGGTGGGGGGTCTGGGGGAAATGGAATGTGCTTGCTAATGGCCCTTTGTGGTGATGAAAATGTTCTAAAATTACTATAGAAATGATTGTGAAAAATCATTATAGTGATGGTTATAAAACTGTGAATTTATTTAAAACCAATGAATTATACACCTGAAATAAAACAAAAGAATCATTTCACAAACCAACCAACCTATTAAGCACAGTATACTCTGCTGAGGGACACATCCAGGACCCTTCTCTCTCTCTCTCTCTCTGGTATAGATCATTTCCAGCTACTTTCCAGAGGACTCTTCCTCATCTGTGTAGAAAGTGTGTCAAAAATAACATCCTCAGGACAATAATGCTTAATTACTAGCACATGCCCAGTGGGAGAGCTGGTGACCTCCTGGGACAGCAACCTTGGCGATGACTGACAGCAGAGTGGAGTGGAGATGACCATCCCGACCTCTGAGGACCTACCCACTCCCACCAGGGAAACACCTCCCAGCTCTTCCCTTCCACTCTAGGCTTTTAAAAAATAAATAAATAAACAAACTCGAGGAACCAAGAGGTGAGTGACAAGAAAAGCTACTACACCCTCCAGCCCTGCCCAGATGTTAACAAGTCTGGAGCCCAGGGGTCAGGTCACTGGCTCTCTCTGCCACAGGGGCTCAAAAGACAGCCTCCTCAGAGAAGCTGTCGGGTCTGCAGGTGGCCTTGTATTAGGTTTGTTCTGTAAAGCCCCATATTGACAGGTATTGACAGGGACAATATTGACAGGACACAGTATTGACAGGGGTTTGCAAAAAGAACTCCAAGCACTTTGTCAACACTATCAAATGTCTTCAAATTTCCTAAGAGTTTTTACTCTTATTCAAAACATGGCTCAAAACTACCTACCAAGCCTTTCAAGTCCCTATTTGTTTATAGGACTAGCTAAAAGGATGCTGGTTCCCTCAACTCAGTCTCAGAAACATACTTCTGGAGGTTCTGCCCCAAGCCACAGGCATGATACTGACAGGTGTCAGAGCACATCAAAAGCCATCCAGGTCATCCTGACACTATCCGAGGTTACGAGCTACTGCTCACATCCAGCAGCCCTGCTCTCCTCATCAGTCAGCTATAAACAGGGATGCTCCTTCAAGTAGTCATGCAAAGGGGATATTTCCTCTTTACAGGAGATCAAATGAAAAAGGACACGTGCACATAGTTACAGCCGTGTTACTCTTCGTTGACAATTTATTGTCTGATAATTAATGTGACTGATGTTTTGCACTTTAGCCTCTCGCCTGACTTTGTGGTGGGGGCAGGTACAGAAGTGGCCGAGATTGAGAATGCACAAGTAGAGGAGTTGTGCCACTCAGCTCACCAGCCTACTTCTGGTCTAAGGATGACACAGGTCATGCCACTCAGCCTTGGGCATTTTTCTGACCTGCCTTCCTGTGTCAAGAGCCTCGCTGGAGGCTGGGGATGCCAGGTGAGTAAAATTTGTAATCATGGCCCTCAGTGCCCAGCAGGGGGAGGGACAGACCACAAATGTAATGTAACTGATAAGGGATATAACCATCTCTATAAAGCAAGGTTTCTAAGCCTCACACTGTTAATTCTCTGTTGGGGGAGGGGGCTGCCCCGTGCATTACTGGATATTTGGCAGCAAACCTGGCTCCTACTCACTAGATACCAGAATACCACCCCCCACCTGTGACAACCAGACTGTCTCCAGACATTGCTCTGTGTCCCCTGACAGCAAAACTTCTCCTGTGCGAGAGGCATTCCTGTAATGCAATTCCAGGGAAAGGGAGAGGACAAGGACACATCCTGAAGCCTTCACAGGAGCTCTTTGTCAGGCTCATAAGAGGGGTGTCCCAGGACAAAGGCTTGGGGGAGTAAGCGTAGGACTCCCAGTTGCAGAGGCTGGGTTGGAGCAGGGGGAGTGGGAAAATTCATGGCTGGGTGGACTGAAGGACCATGAATCAGAATGTCTTCAAGGCGAAGGGGGAAAAGCCATCTCACAAACTTCTACTCTTACCCCCACCTGAGCAGGCCCAGCATCTCCATCCCTTCTTCCTGCCTGGGCTTTCCCCCGTTCCTCCGGCAGGTTTCAGAGAGAACCCATACTTTACAGGTTAATTTTCTCTCATTAGTTATTCCATGTATCCTCTTCTGAGAAGCCTCTTCCCATCTCTTGAGGATGTGGGGAGCTGCCATGCCCATTGGCCTACTCTCATGGAATCCATGTATCCCTCCGGAGCTCCCACCAGACTGCACTGATTCCTGGACCACCTGCTCAGCTGGACCAGAGACCTCAGCATGGACCAAGCAACCATACCACCAGGCTGTAGATCCTCAGAACCCACCCCACTGCCAGCACTGAACGCTTGCTGAATGAACACAAGAGCCTTGCAGACAGAATTAAGAGCCTGTGTTTTCCTCAGTCAACAATAAGGTCTCCCTTTTTCTTTTCTAAAACAAATGTGTTTATAATTGGCTAAAACATTTACAATAGGTTGTTTCATCAAATAACTCAATTTAGGAAACATACGAAGGAAACAATGTTCTTCAAATCCACCTAATTTTCTATCCATCAGGCTGTTCACCACTCAATGACTTTATGAGCACCTTTAAATTAGCTTGACACACAATTAAGACAGTCTTCACTTTCCTAAATAAGTAAAATTGAACTGAAAACCCTGTGGAATAAACCTCGTAATATGTGCCTCTACAAAGTAATACCTGCAGCAGAGTAATGCCCACCACACCAGTCCTGTTCCATGGCAGGGGTGTCAGATGCCAGACCTGATCCACCAGGAACAAGGCTGAACCCCCTGCCTTCGCCAAGGCCTGGGGTTTCCCAGATGCTGTGAAGCAGGCAGACCTTCCCAGGGAACAAGACTTTCCATTAACTAATTTCCAACTATCCTGACAGCTCACAAAGTAGCCCATCACTTCCTCTGAGTATTCTATACAGAGTCAAGGTCCCTCTGCAATGGAGCATGCCATTGGTCAGCACCAAACACAGGTCATTTCCACTAGATGGAACCGGAAATCTCTATCCCTATGAACACCAGCAAATACCATGGAACTTCATTGCAACAACCTGTGATCTGAGACAAGAACATAGTAAGGGAGGGTCATGTATGTTGCCTATTGTTTTTGAGCCTCATTTTTTCCTCTGGGGAGTTTGATTCAGGAATGCAGGCCATTTTAAGGCATACACCAAAGTGGCATCAAGGGATTTTCTTTCTTGCCTAAAAGAACTCTGGAGACTGGTCCACTCCCCTGATCATTAGTGAGCCTCAGGCAGAGACAATCCCACACTCAGTTCCATGCCCAGGGAGGTCAGAGAAAGCTTCCCTAGCCATATTTCCCTGGGTTGGGGCCAGGCTGTCTTCCTAGTCAGCCAGCATATGGAGAATTTGTTGGCAGGTGCAGTAGGGATGAACTTTTGCAGCCAAATGGCTCCCTTTTGGGGCTGT